TTCGTCTTATAGAGGTCACGTTCGTCATGTAGAGGTTTTGGGCTAAGAATATTCGTTGTATAGAGGTTAATCAGCCCTAGCCCATGTCACAAACAAATTCGTCTTATGGAGGTTTTTAACTTAATTACTATGTTGTATAGAGGTGTTTTTAGCATTGACCTATATGAAAGTGTCAAGGGGATTTAAAACAATTCGTCTTATCGAGGAATTCGTTTCATCGAGGTTCGTACAAACGAGGTTCAACTGTACTGAAATTGACAATTTTTATTTTGACTTTGATAATTGACAATTTAATACCCACCCCAAGTAGATACCAGCAACCCAAGTACAGATACCAGCTACACCCAAACCTCTCTTTTAGGACCCTCAACCAAACCACCGGCAACAACATAACAACATCTAAAAACAGTGTTGACAACCAATCAAAACACCCAATAGTTCGAAGACACCAACTCACCCTTGCCCACCAAAATATAGACTGGCAGTCTAATAAAACAGAAAGAATATCACACTTCCTTAATAATGAACAACCAGACTTCATAGTTGTTACAGAGCATGGTCTCTCTCGAGAAAATTTAGAAAACATACTACTAGCTGGCTACACCGTAATTGGAGGCTACACAAGAAGAAATCATACGAAAGGGGGAGTTGCAGGATATGCCAAACATGGCCTGGAAAAGTATATGAAAGTAGGGCTTAAGATAAGTGATGACGACTCAGAACTAGTACCTATGTGAAACTGCTCTTTTCGAAATAAAACTGAAAAAGGAAATAGTCCAGGTCATGGGAGTCTACAGGCCTCCAAGGGACAATTTGGAACAAGCGCTAGATATCCTAGCAAGCCAGGTGGAATATGCTCTCCGCATAAAGAAGAAAATTGTCATCATGGGCGACATAAATGTAAACAACCTTGGTGAACGTGCAAACGACACAGATAACATCCAAGTTGAAGATCTTCTATCCTCTTTTGACATTGTTAGACTAAATCTGCCGCCTACTAGAATTACACATGAAACTAAAACCTCAATAGACTGGATATTTACAATCATAGACCCAAAACATATCCAGACACCCATTATCCTGTCTGGACTCTCAGACCACACAGTCCAAATTGCCACTCTCCAACTACCATCAGAAAAAGTCACAAAGTCAATTAAGGAGAAAAGAAGAACTCACACTGGGTATTGAGGGAAAGTCTAAACAATGGTTCCACAGTTATCTTAATGGCAGACAGCAACTCGTTGAGATTCAGCATGTAGAAAAAATACTCGCCATAAAATACATTCCGAAACTGTCCCTATACGGAGAGGAGTACCACAGAGATCAGTTCTCGGACCAGTCCTGTTCTTCCTCCTCACAAATGACCTACCAGACCAGCTACAAGAATACTGCCAAACCACAATGTAAGTTATGACTCAAGTGATCAACACCCTAAAAAATAAAACATCTGCTGGAGTAGATGATATATCCACCAGTCTACTAAAAAAATTTAAAGAAAAACTTGCTGGACCGTTAACATACATCATCAACCGTTCTTTCCAAGAAGGAATCTTCCCAAGTGGACTTAAAATTGCAAAGGTATACCCAAAATTCAAGAAAGGAAACCATCTGGACTCAAAGAACTACCGCCCAATTTCATTAATTTCCACGTTCTCCAAAGTATTCGAAAAAATAGTACTAAACAGACTTCTTGAACACCTATCATCCAATGAACTGCTCACATCACATCAACATGGATTTGTACAGGGAAAATCAACCACATCTGCCATAATAGCGCTAACTGAATATGTAATAGATAATCTAGAAGAAGGAAACATACCAATCGCAATTTTAATTGATTTCAGCAAAGCATTTGACTGCTTAGATCATATACAACTGTGTAACAAGTTGAGAAAAATTGGAATTGGTGGGAAAACTGCAGAATGGTTCATTCAAGAGCTATTTAACTGGAAGAAGTCAGATGGTTGAACTCAAATACACTGAAAAGGGATCTACACAAACAGTAAGATCAAAGTTATTACCTGTAATAAGGGGTGTTCCACAGGGTTCTGTGCTGGGCCCCATCCTTTTCATCTTGTTTACAAATGATCTACCTCACTATTTTGAAGACTACAGCAAGACTCTTATGTATGCAGATGATACCGTACTCCTCCTTGGGGGGGAAAACCCTGAAGCCCTTGAAATCAGCTCGTTTGTTTCCATAAACATGGCAATACAATATTGCCAAAACAACAGCTTAGTAGTTAATGAAGAGAAAACACAACAACTGGTCTTTGGCAGGAGAAATGGTGAGGTATGCAGGATCCCAGACATCGAAGGCCCAGAAGAAGCAAAGTATTTAGGTTTAATAATAGACCAGAAACTGACATGGACCCCCCATATTGACAGCCTGTGTAGTAAGCCGAATAGCAGTGTCTACGTGATAAAAAGGATAAAAACCATAAGTGACATCAACATAGCCAAGATTGCCTACCTCTCACTGTTTGAATCACATCTTCGATATGGCCTTGAAGTATGGGGAAACTCATCGGCAACCAACCTCCAACGTGTGCTTATCCACCAGAAAAAAGCAGTAAGAATATTAGCAGACATGGACAAGAGAGAAAGTCACAGACCAAAACTCCGTGAGCTAAAAATCCTAACGATTACAAGCCTGTACATCCTAGCTGTGGCTACTCACGCAAGCAGGCTACAGCTCCAACGAGGTACGGATAGGCACAGCCATAACACCCGACAGGCTATGAATTACACACTTCCAGTCCATCATCTAACTCTTTTTGAAGAAAAGTCTTCCTACATGGAAACGAAGTTCCAGAACCTGCTCCCAGAGACAATAAAAGGCCCCAGCATAAGCAGCACCAGACAACGCTTATCGGCTTGGCTTGTGGAGAGAACTTTCTACACAGTTGAAGAGTTCATGAACTGGAGAACTTCACCGATGTTCCAGTGAGGACTAAACAACCCTCATAGTAATAACCATCACTACCGACAGCGCCTCAAAGCCCAAAAACTTTATGCTATTTTATAACTAAATCTCTGTAATGTTTGACGCCTATTCTGTAATCTATGTTCAAGAATAAAGTATTCTGATTATGATTCTGATTCTATGCAGATGACACTGTCTGACAAATCAACAGAAACTTGAAACCGAAACATCAATATAACCTTCAACATGACTAAACAATATTGCACAATAAACGAATTAGCTCTAAATGAAAAGAAAACTGTTCAGCTAAACTACTCTACTAAAAATAAAGACACAAACGTATTAATCCCTAGGATAGAAGCACAAAATAGTACCAAATATCTTGGCATTATCATGGATTCAAAACTGACATGGAAACAGCACATTGGCCAACTCGGCAAGAAGCTACGCTCTGGCATTCATGTCATCACACAAGTGAAGCAGGTTGGTGGTCTGGACACGGAAAAAACAGCCTACCATGCCCTGGTCGAGTCACACGTCTGGTGGTCTGGGGAAGTACATCCAACAACTATCTATAAACAGTCCTTATCCACCAAAAAAGAGCTATAAAATGTCTAGCAGACCTTCAATATCAAGGAAGCAGTCGTGATGCATTTAAGCAACTAAAAATCCTCACACTGACATCACTCTTATCCGTGAGGCAATTCTCCATGCCATCTCCACAAATCAAACAAGAAACAGAGACATTCACCATCAAAATACACGGAACGCCTCAAGCTTTGCAATACCACCTCACCATCTAAGTCTCTTCGAAAAGAAGCCATCCTACAAAGGGGCCCTGTATTTCAACATCCTACCAGAACTTATGAACCAACTCACCGTTTCAAAAACCAATTAACAACATGGCTGCAAGAAAGGGGTCTGACTTAAGGGAGGTTTAAATGAGGCAACGATGACATCATAGTTTAGTTCAAAATTCCTCCGTGAACAGCGTTGTAGTAGAAAGCATAGCACGTAATTTTTACTTCACTATTAGGCCTAGTTAATTATAAAATTAAGAAAAATTATAAAATTAATCTTAAAATTTTTCAGTTATTAAATTAAACTGTCATAACCTAACCGAACTAACCAAACGTGCTGATAATGAAAAAATCAAATGAAGGTTTACTACTCTAAAAAATAGTTTTGTTCATAAAATAAAATTATAAATGCCTAAAATTCAATTTTATAATTTTTAATTATAAAATTAAACTGTCCTAACCTAACCAAACCAACCAAACTTGCTGATATGAAAAAAAAGTTTGACAAAAAGTTAGTGCTGCCAGCGGGATTCGAACCCGGCACCTTCAGATTATCAGCCCGACATGCTATCCACTACACCACCAAGGCTGATGACTGAATTCCGTATCGTTGCGGTAATGGTGTTCCCTCAAGAGGAGATCTGACAGCTGACGTCATTGAAGGCTCTTCTGTACCTCCCTTGAGTAAATACTGCAAGAAAGGCCATTCTACTCAGAAAAAGAATTCCTTGACAACCAGCTTTAACAACATATTAAATCCACAAATTTTAGTTATTATTCTGACGCATGTACTGTTCTCAACGAACATGTAAATAAAGATCATTGTATATTTTCTATTGTCTATGATGTCTTCTAAAATTAACTGAGCAACCATTGGAATGAAAAGATCAGTTATTTACTTTAATTATTATTACTTAAACGCAACATAAAAAACTAAAATAAATCAAATTAAACAACCAATGGTATCTAATAATTTGTAAAAATTATCTTCTTAATATTTGAGCTTGTAACCTCAAATAGGCATCATTCAATCACCATTATCATGTAGTTACGGCCACAAGATAAATAGTTTTATCTGTGTGTAGTCAATGGTTTTATTAAACACCTGACACACTGTATAAATTTGAAGACCTATTTAACTAAATCCATCAAATTTAAGTGGAATTAACTTTTTTAGACTAAAATATGATTTTTGCAGTGCCAAGTTTAGATAATAGTTTTTTTATGTTGTCAGTGTGGGTTAGCTTGAATGGAACTTTTCTATACACACTTACCACTTTACCAGAGTCAGGATTTCCAACAATGAAAAAGTAGTCAGGATTGGCCATGAAAAACTCCTCAGTACTTCCTCCTGAAAAGAAAGGGAGATAAGTAAAATAAGAAGGAAAATGTTCAATATGGCTCACAATTCAAAAATCCAATGTCAGTAGAAACTTAATCTATAAGATTTATTCAAGTGGTTGAGTGCGGCCTACGTTAAACTACGTTGCACCCCTAACTGTAAAGTAGGTATTGATTAAGTGTGAGCTCAGCCTCACACGGGAATGTTGTGTTGCTTGTCATTTAATTTAATTCCACTTGCCACTTATTGTGCCAGTGATATACTTCAATCCGGCATAATTCGGTTTTAGATCCAACAATTTCATCAGAGGTGGGGACTGTTCAAAATTTAGTGTAGTAGCCTACACCTACAGTATAGGGTTTTGTCTTGGATTTAGTGCAAAACTCAGAAATACGGTAGTTAAAAGTCCAAAGTCCACCAAATAATTAATTCACTGCCACTTATACATTACCTTACCTCATTGGCCATTGAAACCTCAGAAGGTTGTGATGCTTCTCCACTCTTTTAGCAATGCAAAACAGGGTGCAGCACTATTATTTTTGTTAATAAAAGGTTACCTGTAGTACTTGTCCGTGATCCTGTGTTTTAGGTCAGCGACCCAGGTTTCGAACCTAAAGGTTCATTTTTAAGCTGATACCATGGTTAAACTCCTTCTAAACACATAAATCCTCTTCATAACTGCGAAGAGTCGTTAAAGACACAAACACGAAAACACAAACATTTAACAAAATTGGCCAATTAAAATAATAACACCACGCACGCTACCGTACCAATTATTTTAACTGGCCAATTTTGTTAAATGTTTGTGTTTTCGTGTTGGTGTTTGTGTCTTCAACGACTCTTCACAGTTATGAAGAGGATTTATGTGTTTAGAAGGAGTTTAACCATGGTATCAGCTTGAAAATGAACCTTTAGGTTCGAAACATGGGTCGCTGACCTAAAACACAGGATCACGGACAAGTACTACAGGTATTTAACCTTTTATTAGTAAATTACGTGATTCAGAGGCTAAACATGTTTATTTTTGTTGCATTACTCATTTATGACAACAGCTAATTTGAATTAGCAGCAACAAAAAGCTGTAATATACAATGAGAACTGTCTAAGTTGGATTGTTAACAGTTATGTTTATGTTTTAATTTAATAATTGGCTACAAGCATTCAGCAGAGATACTTTGATATACTTGGTGTGTACTTGAAAATGATGCAATGGAATACATCAGTCCCCAACCCTGATGAAATTGTGATCTATATACATACTAGCTGTAACCCGCGGGCTTTGCCCCATTTAACTTCTTAATTTTCAAGATGATCTCGTTCGCATGGCTCAATCACGTCCTGGTTGAAGTTCGTTCGCTACGCTCACTCACCTTTAAGTTATAAGTCATAAGTATTTTGTTGCATAAAACATTCTTCATTACAAAGGCAATGGTGAACAGATGCATGGTCAATCAATAAGTTATAAAAACTAAAAGTAATAAGTTACAACAAAATACAACAAGAACAGCACAATTGAGAGAAAGTTACCAATTCAAACAAGTTAGAAAAAAGACAAATTTAAATGAAGATCTTGAAGCAATATCAGAGAAAAAAAACATTCTGTGTCATATTTTACATAAACTAATGGTCAATTAATGTCAAGGTCATTTAGGAAATCTACCAGGAAGTAATATGATTTCTCCACCAATAATGATTTAGTCCAAATTTTAAATTTTTGTGGTGTATAGGATTTTATTTTTGAGGGGATCTTATTATTGATTAAGTGTGAGCTCAGCCTCACACGGGAATGTTGTGTTGCTTGTCATTTAATTTGATTTCACTTGCCACTTATTATGCCAGTGATATACTTCAATCCTTTAGGTTGGAGCTCGCTCGCTATGCTCACTCACCTTTAGGTGTCAGGTTCATTATCTGGAGCATTGTAGGCATTTGTTCGCTGAACTTCGTATTATGACTGTTGTAAATGTCTATATTTATCAATCTTTGTTAGCTATTAAGGACATGGAAGAAGATCTGGTTTGTAACAAGGATGTCCACTCATATTTTACAAGAAATAGAAACAATGTTCATTTAAGTAGTAATAGATTGAGTAAAACTAATAACTGTTTTCCTGTTACAGGCAAAAAGTTTTACAATGCTCTCCCGGAAAGTGTACGGTCATTGCGGAAGTCAAAATTTACAAAAATTGTTAAAGATTGGCTTAAAACGAACCCCTTTTATGAACCTATTGAATTTTTTGATGCTCTGAAGGCTGGCCATTGTTTTAGTTTCTAATTTTATTTTTATAGGCTACTCAGGTATGTGTCACAATTTTCATTTTCTTTTGTATTTTGCTATAACTGCATGGTTTGCTGTGGAGATCAATTAACCATTTTTTATTTCAGCATGGTTTGTAATGATGAACATTATTTATATGCATTGGTTTGTTATTTTAGAATAGTTTGACGTTACCTATTGTATTTGTTTACTTAATGGTATAGTAAATTTCTTGAATCTCTTGAATCTCTCTTTAGGTTGGAGCTCGTTCGCTACGCTCACTTGCCTTCAGGTTAGCTCGTTCACTACGCTAACTCGCCTCCAGGTTGAAGTTTGTTCGCTATGCTCACTCACCTTTTGGTTGCAAATTAGCTGTTGTCATAAATGTAAAAGAAATAATAGTGCTGCACCCTGTTGGTAATCCTTGTAACTTTAATGCTATTGAACATCATAGAACAGAACCAACTTGTTTAATTGAAACAGCTGTTAAGATTCATTAATTCCATTTCTCATAAGGTTAACATGGGAAACTCCAGAGCCACTGGGGCGGAGCCGATTGGACGGATCACGAAATTGATGGTGTATAAACCTATTCCATGAAATTCTACACGTTACATGTAGGCCTAGCCCTACCAAGTCTCGTGGCAATCGGTTCAGCGGTGTCTGAGTTAATCACTGCCAAACATATATATATACAAACATCCTCTTTTATACTTATAGATAATCCAATGTATGATTGTCTGTGTGTCCTTTATGGACTCCGAAACCGCTCGACAGATTGTAATGAAACTTTCAGGCATTATTAAGCATTATTCAAGGATGGTTAGAGTGAAGTTTGGTGTAGATCCGTCAAAAGGGCTCCACCCCAGTGGCTCTGGAGTTTACCATGTTATGAGTACTTATATTTAAATGGAATTAAAGAATCTTAACATCTGGTCCAACTAAACAATTTGATTCTCTGATGTTCAATAAACAGATTAATTTGTTAGGTTAGATTAAGTTAGGTTGGATTATAATATTCAAGCCTAATTTGGTGTACCCAAAATCGGTAAATTTTTGCACTTGGCTATTTTTTACGACTTTTCAAACCTGGTTTTCTGGGGTAAAGATGACATATGCCGAAAAAGTGCCCGAGAGAAAATGAAATGGCCTCTAGCGCTTTTCGCTGGGCTATATTTTTAAACACGATGCCAGAGGAAAAAAGTGTTGGTACCTACTTTGGTATTATTCGGAGGCCACATAAGTTTACTTATTAAAACAGTTTTTTACCGAGACCAAAAATAACTACCGGTACATAGGCTAAACTTAATTGAAAAGAACATAGGTACCTACTTTAATTGACTTACTGCCCAAATTTGACATGATTACAATTAGCGGCCTTTGAGTTCTGCCTCCCAGAAGGCATCAATGTCGGCGAGGATTGAGTTGAACGCGTCGTTGCTGCTAGCAAACACATGTACATGTACTCCGCCAAGTAGGTATGCAGCACGCTGCGGCGGTTATGTAAGGTTGGGTTTATCATAATACCAATGTATCGTCAACATATCTCTACCTTATGGTAGAAATAGTAGGCTAAGTTACATTAGGTATGTTACTAAAGTCCTTATATAATAAATGTGTTTGTAAGACTTTCCTTGTTTCATCATGAATCGAACGATACCAGATGAGTCAGGACACTGGATCCAGATACAGGAGATTTTGCACGCTCCAGTCAACTACCTGACCTTGGCCTAGGCCTACTTGAAGGGGATTTGGAGGGTGAAAGTATGACTAATCTGTTATCGTTTGATTTATAACGAAACGAGGAAAGTCCTACAAACATATTTACAATAACCCAACCTAACATAAACCGCCCCAGCGCACTGTAAGTTATAAGGTTGCCCTCCGGATAATACCAAAGTGTTAAAAAAACAGCCTAATTTTTGAAGATTTAAAGGTAAAAAATGCAATAAAACAGTGGCCTAGGTTAGGTAGGCTAGTTTTTAGGCCTATGAGTTAACTTAAGTTACATAGGCCTAGTTCAGTATTATCTTTACTTATTTTCCTTGAAAACAAAACAATTGACATATAACTTAAGTAGGCCTAAGTAATAAGTAGACTAATCTGCAATGCCAGTTAAATAAGTTACCGGTAACTTATGCAATGAAAGTTTGTGTTATCCCTTAAGTATCCCAACTCTCCTTTCCTATCGCTGTTTCCTAAGGGTAAACTTACACTTCCATATCTGTTGGCACAAACAACCAAATGAGTAAGTTAATATCGATGGATATAGGCCTATCATTTGGTTAGTTAGATAAGTTCCTAACCTAACTAACCAAAGATAGGCCTATTAAATCTAATTAAACAATTGAACAATCAATATTACTCATTCGGTTGTTTGTGCAAACAGACATGGAAGTGTACCCTTACCTACATGTCCTCCAACCTGAACCAACTTGCAAAGTTTATTCCTGTTAATTTTTATGTCCAGCTAAAGATACGGTAGGCCCAAGTTATTTGTAGTAACAATAACCAAGTCAGGGATTGCAATATCCTAAAAACTAGGCTAGGCAAGTTAGCCTAGGGTCTACTTTTTATTGATGCCCAATCATTACCGGTAAGTTAATCTTGCTAATTTATAGGCCTAGTTTGAATTGAACCGAGTTCAGCCAAAATATTATCTATTGTTGGAAATTAGGTCATACTTTAAATATATTTAACTTTAAGTAAGTACAACAGTTACTAACCTGATTTTCCATCTTGAGTACTCATTTCGTTTGAGATTAAATTATTAATCGTCTGTGGGAGCGGGACCGCGGTTGCAGCCTGCAATTGCAAGAAAGAGATGCGGTGGCGATGGCGTCGCGATGCAGTTACGCTGCGGCTGCAGCACTCCACTGCACGTGCGCCTGACCCGCAATGGCAACACTCCCAACGCGACGCCGACGACAAAGGTTTACCCCCAACATGACGCCTCATCCTCAGTGTACGATCGCTGGCTCAGTACTGACTAGTGACTACTGACTGACTACTGACTGACTGACTGGCGCCGGCGGGTCGGGTAATCGTTCACTCCATATCGCCGAGTGTGTAGTTCAACAGTCCAGTCTAGTGTCTCGTCTCTAGTCTAGTCCGCCGCTAAGTTCAGTCCAGTCTCCAGTCCAGTTGGCAGCAACTGCAGCGCGCCAGGCGACGGTTCCATGAACTTCGTGGTGACGGTGCTGCGATCTAAGTAGAAGGGTCAGTACTCAGTACTACGTGCATCCACGGTGCACAACGCGGTACCATTAAAGTACATATTATATTGTCTGTGGTGGTTGTACATTGTAGAAATTTCCTGTTCACGCGTCCTCCCGCATAGTCTTCAATCTAGTAGTGTTATACAGGGTGATTGGTACTCAGTGTGACAAAAATTATTTTGTGTAAGTACAAAGTAAATGCAGTGTGATGATGCATATAAAAGGTTCCAAGTCTAAAAATTAGCTTCCCAAAGATTAGGCCATGGCAATATTGTACAACAAAAGACGTTGCTAACGTCACTTCCTTTGTAAAACCTGGGACATTGCTGTGTGATGTCGTAAAGGACGTTAAGGATCTTTCCAAAGACTTGAGTGAAAATGATTATCTGTTGGTAATAGGTGGGACTAATGATATAGAAGACAAAAGTGTACGCAGCATAAAAGAAGAATTCAACACTTTACTAAACAGTATCAATAAATAATAAAACAAACTTGATTATTGCATCACTGCCTATATGCCACATGACTTGCCAAAATTAGACAACAAAATTAGTAATATAAACTACCTATTGGCTTGAAGAGAAATTGAACAACTCCATAGAAAAAAGATTACTAGAACCACACCTCTTGCCTCGTGAAATGTACATAAATCATGGTTTGCATTTCAACAAAAAAGGTAAAAGCAAAATTTCTGAAGAAATCCTAAATATCATCCGTGACTGCTGTTTCAACCCCGCTCTATCCGATAACTTCAAAATCCAACTGGCTTCAGATGAAGAACCCGTCACAGTTGTAGAGGCTGATATGAATAAGGTAATTCACAAGCTGCGAGACACCGAAAACACTGTCTTTGCCCACTTCATCTCTGCAGATGTAAATGATGACAGGCATAATTTACATTATTAAATTTACGTAACAATATGATAATATGAATATAGATGTCTAAGGTTTAAAGAGTTAAATCACACGCTTAAGGGTTATGCCTGCACTCAGCGTAGCAGACTAGCAGCACATCGTTGGTTTTGGTATTCTACTATTCTAGTTCTAATTTTAGAGAAGTGAATGGTCGTCAGAATCAGAGTTAGATAATAAAGTTAATTGTTACTTGCAGTTGTTTGTCGTGTGGTTGAAAGCAATCAGCTGTAGGCCTACTTCACCTACAGTTCATTCCACTTGTAAATATGTCATCCGTCCTACCTTGTTTATTCTTGTTCAAAGGTTTATTGCGGACATTTTACATCACAAATGTAAAAAAAAAAAAAAAAAAAAAAAAAAAGGTATAGTTTTTTACATTCGTGATGGAAAATGTCCGCAATAAACCTTTGAACAACATTAACTCACCATCACCAACAATGAACTTCAAACAAAGAATTGTTTATTCTAATGTTGTATATTTTTACAGCGATATCTTGAGTAATATTCATCAGCAGTGAAAAACTACAAATTCGTTTAGAGGCACCTATAGGAAATAAATAAATACCAAAGATTGTTTCGAGCTGCTTCATAATGATGCTAAATCTGTGGAGGTATATGTAGTACAAATCCTATTATAACACAAAACTATTGATTCCATTCTTCCTCAGAAGCCACAATGAGTAGACAATTTTAATTTGAATTGTATTCATTAATGTACTTTTAATATTTTTCATGTAAAACTGTTTTGGCTTCGCAAGAATACCGTTAGGTTTGAGAGGATTTTTTAAAAGAAAAATATGTAAGTTTCTGATAGAATTTATTTAGACAGCGACGTGTTCACATAAGCTGTACAAACATACAAAACATGGTATAAATGCACATAAATATTAAAACATTAACCATAGTAAAATAGCAAAGTGAATAGAACATTATACAGAAAAAATAAAAGGGCAGATAGCCTTGGTTTATCCAAATTATAAAAATAAAAAATATAATAATAATAATAAAAAATGATAAGCCTGAAATTTAACAAATGGCCTCGTCATATGGGTCAAGATTTGGTTAATGTCCGATAAAGGTAAAGAATAATACATTAATTTGTCTTTTATTTTTTTTTCAAAAACTTTTAGACAAAATGAGCAGTTTTTTTCATTAGAGAAAGTAAGATTTAATGAGGTAGCTTAGCTAATAATTTACAGTCAAAAATCCATTGAAGAAATAAAAACGTTTCATTTGTGATGAAAATAAGTGTTGTTTTGTTAGTGAGCAAAGAATTGTCTGCTTTCTTACACTATTTATTATGTGTGGCAAACAGATAAGTATTATACAAAAGTCATTAGCGAAAAATCTTGTAAATTGAATTTCATTAAATATATAATTACACACTAACCTTAATATTGCAAACACTTTGTTCAAATGTACTTCACAACAAAGACTTTTCAATGTTGGTAGAATTTTGTCATGTATACTGTATTCAAAACAGTCAATTGCACTAAGGAATTCTTTCATGTAAATATGATTACTCTCCAAGTATAATGTCATAGATAGTTTTATTTTATTTCTTTTTCATGAAGCATTGCATACATAATACGAGAATGGTTAGTTAACCAACTTTTTGTGACTAAAACATATGTTGCTAAATTATGTGTGTTAATTTTTGAGATGATATAAAAAAATAGGCAGTATAACCATTTGTAAAAACATTGATCCATACCACAGTATCATAATTAGTACTGGTATCATAATAACTATCATAATAACTCCATAGAACTGGTAAATTTTTAATGGTAATATCATTGATAATTTCTAATCCACAGGCAAATTTTATCTCTCTCTTTAAAATTATAGTGCTTAGTAAATGATAGAATACAAGGGGGGGTCTAATAAATTGAAAAATGTATAGGTACAATCCATCTCTTACCTTGAATCTGAAACAAAAACTATCAGAGATTCAGAGATAAATGCATTATGAAGCACCTTTATACACAGTAAATCTTGCTTTACACATTTTGGTTCCATTATAATCCTTAACTATTGCTACACTATGTCTACGAGTAACATTGATGGCAACAAATATAAAAATTCTATCTCTAATTAATATTTTGCTCTTTCTATACAATAATGGAATATGTTTTGAGAACATAAATATTTAATAACAGTTCTAAAAGTGTTCTCCTTATACTGTGTTATAATGTACATGCTGTCTACATCAAAAAACTATTTATGGCAGATTTCTACTTCTAATATTTTTTTAAACTAAATAGAAAAAATCACAGCAGTATACAATATTATAGTTGAAAATACAAACGCTACTATGGCATTTTTTATGACTTATAATCTTCAATAATGTTTTGATCACTAAGTGATGTTTAGTCTACAAAACCGTTCAATGTTAAAAAAAAAACTATTTTTGGCCTATTAACATAATAAATAATGCAGTTTGCACAACAAAGAAAGGAAAAAATATAGAGGAAAATAGTTTTTCCAGAACATATTGTTTTTTTGGTTGCAAAAAAAGGAGAGATTTAGCATAAGTTAGGGGCCTATAATAAAGGGTTGATCGATACCTTAAATTAAATTAATTCAAGTAAATGTGTTCGCTCACTCATCAATGTTATTCCAGTTTCTTCATGTACAGTAAAACAATTATCAATTAAGCTTTAATCCTCAATTATAAGTCAAATTAGAAAAAAACTTCAAACACAATTAATTTTGCTTCATTAAAATGCTAAAATATGAATAACATATTGAATGCAAGGAAAGGAATAAATAATGTTGATGTATGTTGTAAAAAACTATAACATACTACACTAAAATTAAAAAATTAAAAGAAAAAAAACATATAAAAGATAAAATATTATAAAGTTTATAATATTACAACTACTTCCACACTTTTGTTCTAAATTTGTTCTGAATCCAAAAAATAGAAAAAAGAAAATATTCAACTAATTTTAAAATCACTAAATTAATTATACATTAGTTTGCTAACCAGACTTTTAAGGTAATTTTTAGATTAAAACCTTTAGTAATAACAATAAGTAAAGCTTACACAATGGAAGCATCTTACAAAATATAAATATTAATAATAAATACAGTATACAACCACAGATTTTTAACCGATTTTTTAAAACTTAAAATTACGACTACATTATTATTTGGTTTAATGCTATCTAATAATTAAAACTAATTAAACTGTGTAATGTTAAACTAGTAATGTTAAAATGTTATAACATTATGCAACCTTTATGAAACTCTTTGACATTTTACTCTGAAGATATTAAGATATGTATGTATCAATGTCTTCAAACTATTTACAAATCAAGTAATTTCAATTGTAAGTGTGTGCTGCTACAGTATTTGTAAAATTGTACAGTATCAATTTTGCATGACAAGCTTAGAGAAGTGGAGGATGCCTTTATCCTGATAGATTAGATAAGAACAATGAGCTATATCATATTTTAGTGATAAAACAATTTTATACCACTAACTGTTATTAATACTACAGTAGACTTCCTCTTATCGGGACAACTTTTGGTACTGAAACGACTGTTCTCGTGGGAAAGATTTGAGACAACGTGTATTTAAACACAATGCTCTCCTAAATTTGATTCAAATATTTGGGAAGCATGCATTTAAGTGGTCAGTTTTAACGAGCTTTTGGGGATGTCGGTTTAACCGGAAAAACCGTTATCCAGACTGGCCTCGCAGTCCGGATAAGAGGGTGTCTACTGTATTTTATCAATCAATTTGGAGCAAACCTAGGTGATTTTGTAACTATGTAGAAAACTAATTTAGCAATTTTATAAACTTTTGGTAAAACCTTAAGACTGTTATTTCCTGAATGCTTTAAATAAAAAAATCATTTTATAAACTAAATAAGCTACCACTTACAATCATAATCACCTGAAATCCCTAAATACTTTGGATCCTGATACTTGGTTTCAACTGATTGTGTAAAAATCAGAAGAACAAGGGAAATTGATGATTTCAAATATGAAAACAGATAGAGGTAGTTTAATTTTTTTGTAAGAAATAACTTACAATCACATAAAATTTGCTTTAAACTGTCGTTGTCATTTAGTTTTCATTATATTGGTCAATCAAAACAATCAAAAATCAATAAAACTGTTTAAAAACAATAGCTGCCGATAGGAACTTAATGCAGTTATGATCATTATTAGAATTTCCTCTGATTTTAAAACTGATCATATATAGACCAAACTCAACTTAAATGTTACTGTCGTTAATGTCCTAATTTAAAACTTATGCTAAAATGTTAAATATAAAGCTATGTCATTACGATGAATGTAGATTACAATTATATTTACAAGTCTCATATATTATTCTTGAGGCCTAGGTTGTGAATTTAATTGTCAACAATATTAAAAAAATAGTGCAATACAGTTGGATTAAAGAATTTGAAGTTTTGGAATAAATAAAACAAGTTGTATCTACTGTCTTGGACTTAGATAGCTTCTTTTGGCTGAATAAAAACAATAATGGTCCTCTTTTGGTTGAATAGACCAATTTTGGTCCTCATTTTGCTGTATATAACCAAGGGGATTACTCGGGGATTAGTAAAAATAAAGTTAAGGAAAAAGTGTTAAAAACCAACTCCTTAATCAGTCAGATACCTAGCTGTAACTTACTGGCCGTAATCTTTCACACAACAGCTCTAATAAATTTTAAATTGATTATTCCTGCTGCTTGTATACACAACAAAATACTGTATCTCTTAACATTGACAGCCTAGGCCTGTAGTAGTTTGACCCTAAACTGTGGTGCCGTAGCTGCTGAAGACTACTCGGGAGGAGTCTGTGTCCAGAGATACATCCTCGGGTGAAGCCAAGTCCACCCGAACTGTACCCGAGTTGCGCTTCCGACGAGTCGGGTTAGCCCACTCTCCCTGTGAAGAAGAATCATGATTCAAAAAATGTATCCAGGAATCCAGGTTTTAATGTCCTTCTTTCACATTTAGGCTAAAGCCTGGAACCGCTTTACACAGACTTCATGCTAGGCCTAGAGGATTGCAGCTTATCACATAGTTAAAAGCAATTGGCCATTGGTGGATATTGAACCCATGCCCTAGGTAACCGAAGCACCAAACTCAGTCACTATACCAGCTTGCTCCCCAATTTGTGCCAGAGTGAATATCCACTACTTTGTGGCGTAAATTCCAGTGGGGGGAATAAAATGTGTTCACAAAACAGGCTAGCCCTACCCCTTGAATAAGCCACACTCAAATTTCTTCTTATGAGTGCTCAGAAGAAGCCAGTGAAATTGAGAAGTTAATACAAAAGCTGGTCCTTGGTTTTAACTAATTAATTATTTTAATTTAATTTTGATGTAACTTCAAATGGGTTAATTCAAACTATACAAAACTAAACTATAGCCACCCTTAGTCACTAGCAGGCAAAAAGTGGAGGTTATAGAATTAAGTCAGCAAAATTTGCTTAGTAAAATTTTGACATTTAAGGTAGAATTTTGAGACAAAAATAGTGGCTGAAAGTATGCAAGTTAAACAAAAATGAACGTAAATTGTATAAATAGTATTAACTATAATAGGTAACCTTTGGAATAAATTACAATGTTCGGCAAGTAGAAGATAATCTAAAAGTTTGTGCAACAACTAAGTAAACCTATAGACAACATTAAAACCACACCAGATCGCTTTGACAGTGACAAAGTTAACCTAACGTCAAGTCTAAACTTTTAGTGGTGTCAAAGTATAATACCTGTCTCCAGTTGAAGCTGGTAGGAGGTGCAGGGGGTGCGGACGGGGTGGGGGGCTGAAGAGCTGGTGGCTCTTCAGAGTCACAACTACGAGACTCTACAGAGTCAAAGCTGCTGTCGACGCCTCCACCACGATACCTCGCTACTCCCTCTACACACTCCTGGCTACTGTCTTCCACTGCCCTGTATATTACAAATAATTTATCAACATTACAATATAACCTTAGAAAATACTGTATTCGATGGATGGTTTTCATTTTATGTAGTTTAATATGAGACAGTGTCATTAACTAGTAAAACGACAAAATAAAAAATACAGATGAGCTGTTCATATTAATGTAAGATTGCTCGTTCTCACCAAGATTGTCTTCCTTTTTGTGATTGCACTGACCATATCCTTACATTAACAGAGGAGTAATAGTAAGTAATACATTTGTAACAGAGGTAACACGCTTATAGGACAACCGTTTGCTTTCTGCTCTGGTATGTTGTGCCGGAAATATACTTGTGACGGGCAAGGAAGAGCCCAAGCAGCAAGCACTGTTTAGAAACTCCTATCGCACTGGACACAGGGTCTTCCTCCACCGTGAGCGTTATAATACATGAAGTAAAAGGGGGTGGCATTGGACTTTGTCATAGACACCAGTGACTAGTGCTAGACACCAGTTAAGTTTACTGTTGAGTGTTTTCTCTGTATGACTACCGTACTTCTCTGAGTGACATCCTTGATACTGCAAAGTTACCAAAAACAATGCAGACCAAGTAGAGCATTAGATAATTTAAAACACTTGTTTATTTATTTATATATTATCAATGGTTCCACCATTTTTATTACAAAAAAAATTACAACTGTGAGTTGTCTCATTGTTATTACTACAGTATTATACATATAAAAAAGAGAAAAAAGACAATCATTCAACCTATAAATTGTGTGCATTACAAAAGGCTAGGACCAAACAGAAGAGCAATTTGAAAACTGAACAGGTAAGGGTATACCTCATTCTAGAGCATATGAGATGTCATAGCCCTACATATTATCAATTACCCTATACACAGTCATACAAACATTACCACGCCTTACCTCAATATCTCCTGACATATCTCGGAGTCCAGAGGTATGACGTCGTCCGTGTCACGGTTGTGTATAGCCACGGCGATGTGCGCCGGGTGAGGCACTGGAAGCGGGATCACCAGCTTGTCAGCGCTGTAAGGTTGGCAGCGCCGCTTCCACGGGTGCCAACATTCCCAGCCAGTAGCTCTTGATCTCGCACTTCCTGAGTGCGACTTGGTGTTTGGAGTTGCAGAAGTTTCTCTGAAAAATGTCAATTTGCCAGGTATTTATTTTGTAATTTCCAATTAAAGAAATTTTTAAAATGTAAATGAGAACTGCACAGTCAGTGAGGAACAGACATTAATGACGTAGGGGATGGATAAATCCTTTATTTTTTGGCCAACTATGAGGATTTCTTAAGATACCCTCAAACTGACAATGAGATAGTCAACCCAGATTTTTCTTGGTGAACAAAAGATTGTGATTCAAACTTAAACTAATTAGAGGAGGATGGCCAACAGAGAGTGCAAAATAAGAAGAGTTTGTACAAGAGAAAAATTGGAAAACTGGTAAAACTTTATGGTAACAACAATTATTCAAAAGTTATGATTCTACTCACCTCTGCTTGCTACAAGCCCCGGGTTTGTATCTGGGGTTGAATGCAGCAACGTCCAGGTAAGGAGAGTGGACTTGTATGTTTCCTCTAGGAGCGTACACAGGTCCCAACAAATCCAGACAACCAGCACCTAGCTCAGCAGACCTGACAAGCTCTGAGTAGCGTGACAAGTCTACATGGGAGGCCGGCTACATGGGAAAAGATTCATGATGAATTAATTAAAGTAGTACTGGAATATTTAAAAACAATATTTTTCTCAACTTTTTCAGCACATCGTAATGTTTTTTTATTCAACCCGACCTAAAATTAAAATTTGAATCACTGCATTGACCTGGGTATATTTTTAATTTAAAAACCTTGATCCTATGTTCAACGCTGTTGGTAAAAAGCATAAATAATCTACAGCCTAGCAACAAATGTGCAAGCGGTTTTTGAATTAATATTATTCTGAAGCATTTAGAGTGATCTTGTTCTTGTATTTTTTTAATTACGTGATCACAACTTTTTGAAATTTGTAAAAAACAATTAAACATGGTATAGTACAATTACCGGACTGAAAAAGCCAATTTTGGCCGAAGACACACAAACACTGAATGCTATAAACAAAATAGTGTTCATTGCATTCGTCTAATTTAATGGAAAAAGCTGAAATTCAGTCCTTTTTGGTGTTATTTGACCAAAATTTTATTTTACAAAGAAAATTCTTATCCACATCGGCTATATGATTTATAAATGTCATTTAAAGAAATATCTCACCTCCAATTTAAACTTGGTGTCTTGGTCGTCCAAGGGGGTGAGAAAGTCAAGACTGAAGATGTCTGTGTATATTAAACCAGCCAAACCCGGCCAGTCATGGGCACTTAGTCCTGTGAACAACAGTTTGAATTTCAACTTGGGCCTGTATGGAGTACAGGGACAAACTATTTTTTTTGTCATTAATTTTCTGTCCGAGTTACCTGCGTTACTTTAATAGTTTAAATGCTATTAAAATAAAACACAACAGTGTTTCTTTGGAATGTTTCTATATTTCTGGAGGGTTTTATCATTGGTTTTATATGAGCAACAATCAGCCATTGCAATTTCTATTATTTGTTGTCCAATCCTCTTTAACAGCAAACACATAATTTTATGAGTGGTATTGAAAATAATCTTAGCAACCATAGAATAATATACAAGTCTCACAGACACAAATGAAAAACAACTGTTAAAGTTATATTGTTACAGTGTTGTAAAAGATTGATTGTGAATTCCAATTCTCGAGAATAGGCAATATTCAGCACTAGTCGTCACTTATGAACTACTTTTGTGCCCCAGTCTTAATGTCTGCAAGTAGCACTAGTATAGGTCCAAATGGCAAAGACAATGGTACTGAGTAACTATTGAAGCGAATAAGTTCTGTGCATGGGCATGAGTAGAATTTGAATTTACATAAATATTATACACGAGTTTTGAAATTTGGGTTGCCAGATCGGGTGCCAAATGTAGTTCTATAATGGTTTTTCATATCGCAATAGGTTAATATGAATTTCCAAATTCTACCAAACTATTACCTTTACTCTCCCAAAACTCCTCCTCGCTACCAATGCCCCATCTGCCGCACACACCCCCTGGGTATAGTCGCTCCATCATCAATGCAGCCTGTTGTATGGCAATCTGAACAACAATAGTGTCAATAGTTGAATCAAAAAAACTACTAACCTTAAACATAAATTAAGTATTGAATTGGCAAAATTTAATTAATATATTGAAAAATCAAACTCATAATGCTTTCAAAAGTACATTCTTAAAAACCGTTTTGATAGAAAGACTAAATTAACTGTTTATCAGGCTTTGTTTGCATGGCAGGAAAGGCTTAGCACTTCTAGGAACTGAAGCTCACCTTCAAGTCGAGTCTGGTGAGCTTGAGCTTAGCACGAACTGTGGGAGCCAGGCCGCAGCTCAATTCTCGTCTCCGCTTATCAAGCTTCTCGTGTAGACATGTGAGCAAGTCCTGAGCTTCTCTTTCCAAAGTCTTGTAAGGACCCGTGCGGGCCAACGTCGCAGAGAACGGACCAAAACACGCCTCCACAAACTGGCTACAACATGTTAGATCACTTTCAGTAAAAACTTATCCTTGAGGTTGAATCTTGATGGACTGGTGCCTCTAGATTTAAGCTACCTTTACAATAGCTTACAATCATTTTATTACCTTTAAGTCTAATAACAGACATCAAAACGTATTGCTAAAAAGCCGTATACCAGGTACGTGTTGAAAAACTTACGTTAACTAAAAAAATATTGTTAGCAATTTGACAATGAGGTTTGTACAATTTAACAATTTAGAGCAGGAAAATGTAGACATAAAGGGATCGGTAAAATCTGCTGAGTTTGGTAAAATGACCAATCACTCACAGTACCTAACTTTTTTTCAAAAAGCCATAATGTGATGAGTTACTTTAGACTCCCAACAAAGCTTCACAATAAATATTGGACAGGTTTGGACAGCTACATTCCACTTTCTCAATAAATAATGGAAAGGATTACCTTTACCTTTAAAAAAAAATATGGTGTAATTTTGGGAAGGTTTAATCAACTCAGCTGGGAAAGTTTTAATGGAACTCGTTAACAAACTGTTATGCTTGAATTGTAAACAACTACTTCCCGGCCTGTTGTGTAATTGTAATATACTATTATGTTCATCAAGATGGATGAAAACAATCAACAGATGTGATAAAAAAGATAGATAGATTTACAAAACGTGATTCAATAGTACTTTATGAAAGCATATATTCTATCGTTATGTAGGCCTATGGTTTTTAAGTCTTCTGGTGACGACCGTGTCAAAATTTTGTGACTAGAACGTGGTGAATATAAGTATTCATCTATTATGAATTGAATCCTTAGTCGCCATTAGTCGCGCTTAGTATGGGCTATTAATTAACAGCTGTGTCTAAGGAATGTGTCGACCTTAGACACTAACAAGACTACAAGATCGCGCCACTCATCATACACTCATCTCCATTCATACTTGGCTTAAAATACCTACTTTGTATGGTCGCCATTTCAAAGAAAAGTATAAAGTAAAGTATAAAGTATGACACGGTCATTGCACAAAGACTTACAGCATGTCAAATAATAATGTTAAATTACTGTTTGTATCCTTTTGGTACCAGTTTAATCCTGACAATGGATTAAGCACATTTTAGCGAGACTCCCCACACGTCCTCCAAACTATCCTGCACGACACACTTTGCAAGAGAATAGGCCTATCTATGTCAAACCATTAGGGTCTTATGTCACATAACTGTTAATGAGAGAGAATAGGCCTTAACAACTATATCAATCTGTCACATTTCAACAGTTAGGATTTAATGTCATTTTATGTGCTTCAACTTCTGACACACCTCTTAAAGCAAAATTGGTTTTTATCAGATCTCATGATGGCAGAATCGATGGAATGCGCACAACCCTTAGTCAGGATTAAACTTGGACCAACTGGAAAATAAAATCCACAGTATATGTGTACGTGGAAGCCTAACCATGACGTACATTATTTATTTATATTATCTCATCAACAAGTTTCGGTACCAAGGATTCAAGTGTCAAACATAAGCACACCAAAAGCAGGAAGTAGTAATAATTTACAGCCCCAACCTGAAGTCTTTCTGAGGCTGAAGAATCTTCTGCTCCATCTGGTGTTGATAAGCGGTAAGTTCGTCAAGCTCCAGTTTGGCTTCAAATGCAGCCAATGCCTGCTCTGGCCTTATCTGTGAAGTAAGTGTGTATTAGAAGATGGGATAGTAATGTTTGTGATGTAGAAGGTATTCAATGAAATAGTATATTACGTTACCAGTAGAGTTTGGTGGGCGACCTGGTCTAGTGGTAGAGCGCAGGGCTTCGGTGCTCAGGGTCCTGGGTTAAAATCCCGCCAATCACCATTGGATTTTATCCATGTGATAATGCCGCAACCCTCTAGGACTAGCTTGAAGAAGTAGGCTAATGTGAAAAACTGTTCCGGGCTAGAACTAGCGTCCTAGGATGTAAACGTGGTACATAAAAAAAAAACAGCCGAGAAAATAGGTGTTCACCGGACAAGTGTAGTTGAGATTACCACACGAGTCCGGTTGACACATTTTGGACGAGTGACAAACTATATTATACAGCTAAAACTTTAATATTTTAGCTATTTTATCAATTGATCTTTTTGAACTTGCTGTGATTTTGGAAATAATTTCCTTCTTGATTTTCTCTTTATTTTGACCCATAGAACCATTTCCCGGAGTTTGGCTATCTACTTAAGGGATACCCTTTATGTTGCTATAATATAGAAACCTTGGTTATTTGCAGTTCTGGATTGCAGTGTCCTACTATCATTGTAATCAGTCAATGGTGAGGTGATTCAAATGAGTTGCCACAGCAGAGGAATGGTTTTAAAAATATCATCAGACTTGAAGTGGAGTTTGTGCTTTAGTGCAGGATCTTAGGTTTTAATGGATTTGGATATTTCAAATTTTCTTGGCACTTCCATCTTACTATTTTTATAACAGTAATGTAAAATTTCCACAACGTTCTCAAATTTATCAAAGTCTTCTTTACTGTCAATCAGGTGAAGAAATGTTAACTTTTGGGAGTCTGAAAAAGTTTCTTTCTTTTTCATTTTGTGTGTTTCTGCGTCACTTAGGTTACATTACCTTACTTTGCTATTACACTTAGGTTTTGAAGACACTCAAAATAATGAAAAAAAAATTTTCGAAAAAGCAATAAGAGGCACTTACATAAATCATAAAATCTATAATTACCTGATAGTAATAATCAGAGGTCAAACCGGGACCAGCAATTCTCTTGATGAGGAAACCATCACAGGCTGGGACTCTGGCTCTCTTCTTGATGAGCAGGTGAAACATGAGCGAGTCATAGGCTAACCTCAACCAGTACCTCAGGATACACACTGCCAACATAACAAATACAAATTATACCTCAGGATACATACTGCCAACACAAAAAAAATGTTAATTTTACTTCAGGATACATATTGCCAAGCAATATATGTAAATTAAAATTATACCTCAGGACACATACTGCCAACATAACAAATCCAAATACAAATCACGCCGATAAATATTTTCCCATATTCAGAAAAACCAATAGAAACTTTAGGTTAAACTAAAGAGAAATGTACCTTCGGAAAATACACTAAAAATAAATAATAGACACTAAAAATAATAATTTCTAAAGAAACCACTTAGAGGCGAAATAATAAGTTCATGATTAGTTTAAGTTAATATTTAGTGTTAACGTTAGTTTTGAACTGTTTGTGTCCTATTAACTGCTTGAAGTTCTTTTCTTAGCTGAACTCCGTACCTAATACCATTAGATCTTTAAAAACGTATTCCCATTGACAGTGTCAATCGAAGAATATTACCTCAACTGGATGGAAGGCTTGGTGGGATGGTATGCATTGGGGGGTACAGCAGAGTATGTATGTGTGTGTTACTGTATGTTAAGGAGACAAAAACATTTTATTTTATTTCATTATCTGTTACATTAAAAACTTTGTCGGTTTATTTTTGTTCATTGAAAGTTATCATTTTTATTTTAGAGGTTTATTGTATGAAGGATTTGAGGTCCTCAATTTGCCTCGATAAAGAATAAATTACATAAAGTATCAGCTAATCCTGCATCTGTTCCTTACATACTGGTATTGCTAAGCAAAGTGATTTTTCCATAAAACCCCACATTCTAACAAGATAAAGATTAACCTCTGAATATAATGCCAACATCATGAATAAAATTGCGGAAATTACTACCAACACAATTAAAATGAACACAATCCACCTGCAAAGGTATTAAAGTATTTAGTTATATCCTATTCAATATAAAGTAATTTTGAAGGTACAAAACTATTTCCAATACTATTTCGAATGTATTGTAGATATCCCACTCACCAGTAGCTACAGTGCAGGACATGATAGGGCAGATGACCAATGCAACTGTGAGAGCTGCAATTGGTTGCAGCAACCCTAGGATGCCCACGTCCCACACCAGGGCCTGCCAACACGACAATCACCACTGAAATACACACTACCAACACAACAATCATCATTGTCGTGCCATACCAAATTTTTTATGAGAACTGAGGTCCCAAAGAATGTAATGCACCTAACTGAAATCTTCCGTACCATGGACTACCTAATGCTAAAACCCTTTATAAGAGTAAAATGTAATTTAATTAATTTATTTTGTAATTTTTTGTGAGACCTGAACTGTGGAACCAATGCAACTGTGAGAGCTGCAATTGGTTGCAGCAACCCTAGGATGCCCACGTCCCACACCAGGGCCTGCCAACACGACAATCACCACTGAAATACACACTACCAACACAACAATCATCATTGTCGTGCCATACCAAATTTTTTATGAGAACTGAGGTCCCAAAGAATGTAATGCACCTAACTGAAATCTTCCGTACCATGGACTACCTAATGCTAAAACCCTTTATAAGAGTAAAATGTAATTTAATTAATTTATTTTGTAATTTTTTGTGAGACCTGAACTGTGGAACTTTTCACTAAGTTAGTTGTATATCCATTCCTTCCCTTAGTCAAGTGCTTTTACCTCCAAAAGAACAATAATTCTTCAAGGTAAGCAAGCTGATGATATCCTCTTTATTCTACAATTCAAAATCCCGGCCTGAAACCTTTCTTGAACAAACGAAAAAAACTAGTTGACTAAAAATTATTTCCTAAAAGCCACTTAAAAAACTTTCCTTTTCCACGAGTTGTACTTCGATAGAGTTAGATTTGATTTAAACTTAGGCACATAACTCTTACCTGCAATATGACAAGATATTTAGGTCTTGTAGTTACTGGACAGTCCAGATCCCATAGCAACACCATAACCAGGTGTAGAACCAAAACGGTCACCGGCATCCTACGGTAAAAACACATAAGTAATGATTGAGAGCGACTACGTCACACATACGCAGTGACAAGCAACAGGGAGCAACGGCGTCAAGTTAAAAAAACAAAGGGTGGGTGTGTAGCTAGCCTAGTGGTTAGCGTCTCGGACTTTGGTGCGGAAGGGACGAGTTCAACTGTTGGCATATCCAATAAACATTTATTCTCATGTTTGACCTTTTGTAAAATGCCACTAGCGTAGAAAAAAAATGGCACTAGGTTTAGAAGGAAGTTGTTGTATACCATTTATTTATTTATTTATCATCAAATTACATCAATAATTGACAGGTGATTTGTCATAAAACTAAAATCTATTGTAACATAACAACATCAACCAAAATATTGAATACTTAAAAATAATTACACATTTGTTAGGAAATCTTCCAGTGAATAAAATGCTTTCCCCAGAATGCATAAGTGTTTTTTTTTATTTATTTATTTTTTTTATTTTGATATTCAATCAATTTCTTTGATTGTTGAAGGCAGCTTATTATAAATTTTGGGCCCCATATATTGTGGGGATAAATATAATTTTATTCTATGTTGCATTGGTTTTATTAAATTTTTGTATCTTGTATCAGTTTGTTCTGCTGTGAAAATAAAAACATTATTTAATGTGTGTGTAGTCTATTGAAATGGTTGTATTAAGTTTATGAGAGAAATTACATAAATGGTGAATATCATAACTTGTTTCAATTTGTAAAAAGTGATCCGAATGTCGAAATTAAGGCAGAATTAGAGAAGAATCTGCTCTACTCTGCTCTCAATTGCTATTCGTGCATTTTTAGCTTTAGGTAACTGATTGATTAATGTCTCTCTTAGGCAAGCCATAGCTCAGGGGTCAACTTCAAATGCTCTTCTAATCTAGCAGAAGATAGCCAATACCTAGAGGAGACTTCCAAGAACATAACCTGTGGGCCACACACCGTACCAAGGCCAACAAGATGGATCGATATAATATGCCTTCATTAGACCTTGCATATAAAATGTAGCTATAATCACTGGCAAACTTTATGTCAGACAGTAACAAAATGGCGACACTTACCATAGGAACGCAGTGACTGCTATCAGCAAACTAAGTAAGCTGACTAATAAGCAGATAGCTGGAAATATCACGACCAGAGCTAAAGTTCCCATCATGCCTTTCACTCCGTAGTTCCAGACTCTGTTCAGTTGCCTTGTCAAACCTTTACCTATAAAGCCTGCAAACAAAAACAGCTGTGTTGCATATAACCATTGACTTTGGACTTTGGATGGTACGAGTAGACAGTCCACATGTAAAATCTGAAGGACGTTTTAAGTGATTTTGACGTACCCTAAGGTAAGTGTGCTGTCAAATAGATAGGTAAATGTAACACACTTTAGACATTGGTTAGTATAACAGAGGACAAACAATAATTAGAAAAAAAGTTTTGTACCCTGCGAATACCAGAGAGAAACATTAAAATTTTCGTAAATGGAGAAGTATGAGCAGTGTTGCCAAATGCAAAATTAAATTTCTTTCTGTTGATTTTGCTGGTTAAGTTCTTGCAAGTACAAATCTATTGCCAATGATCAACATGCAAATGTTCTAATACAAAGACTAAAAGGCTAAGTAGTCAAATGGATAACTAATCGACTGGTTGTTCTCACTGTTATTAATTTGAGCTTGGGAAACAATGATTGTGTTAGACATCAGCTGTCATAAAAAAAAATCCTCGTAACAACATAAACCTAACATTACCAACAGGTTTGCCAACCAATATTTAAGCTGAAATATAAATTAGTGGTTGGTAATTTTATTCATTTACAACCAAAAACAGTGCAAAATCTGACAACCTATTAAACAAAAACTGATCAAAATTTCAACCCAAAAATCACACTCAAATCAATCTTTTAACTTATAGCTTACTAGCTGTGTACCCATTCTACGCACGGGGATCTTATAGTAATCAGTTGAAACCTTCTTATATAAAGAACAGCAGTTGGTTTGCATATTTTCAGATATGCTGGCCAAACCATTTATTATACATATAAAAGGCAAAGCCCTCACTGACTGACTCACTCACTCACTCACTCATCACTAATTCTCCCACTTCCCATTTACCTAGGAGGCTGAAATTTGGTACACTGATTCTTTAGGCATTAAATAGGAAAACTAAGCTGTTTTTAAACTGATCGGACTCTCGGGCTCCGCCCCAGTGGCTCTGGAGTTTCCCATGTTAACCTTATGAGTTTTCATGGAATTAATGAATCTTAACAGCTGTTTCAATAAAACAAGTTGGTTCTGTTCTATGATGTTCAATAGCATTAAAGTTACAAGGATTACCAACAGGGTGCAGCACTATTATTTCTTTTACATTTATGACAACAGCTAATTTGCAACCAAAAGGTGAGTGAGCGCAGCGAACGAACTTCAACCTGGAGGCGAGTTAGCGTAGCGAACGAGCTAACCTGAAGGCAAGTGAGTGCAGCGAACGAGCTCCAACCTAAAAGTGAGTGAGCGTAGCGAACGAACTTCAACCAGGACGTGATTGAGCCATGCGAACGAGCTCACTTATGAAGTGGGGCAAAGCCCGCGGGTACAGCTAGTTTATTATACATAACTTCATTTTATGTCGTTTGTTGTTGTTCCGGATTGGTATGACAATCAATAAAAGGCTAAATTGCCTGTGTCCGCTGGTTGATCCTAATGTATCCTATTACAGGAGATGCATTTCGGCGAAAATAAATCGCCATCATCAGTAATAATATATGGTCTTGAGTTTCCCCATTAGGTGCGTCTTGGAGTTTTTGAAACACATACGCGAACTGTACACTTATACACATGACGAATAAAACATAAACACACGGTAGGCCTACTTTTATTTTTACTATGGACAAGTAGACGCGCGTCGGTCGTGTGCCGAGTCTCGACTGAAAACGCTCATTTAAAAAATGTAAGTTTCCCAGCCATATATCAACACTGATTCGAGGTCTTTTTCCCGGTTATCAAAACTCAAGAACAATTTTATGGACAAAGAATCTCTATTTTCATTTACTGTTACCCTACATATTATTGCACTTGCGATTAATTAAATCCGTTATGTAAGGAAAAACTTTTTTAATCTGGTTTGGATTTGCTTTCAAAACGTGATCGGAAATGGTTGCTGTATTTGTAAACAACATTCAATGTAAACACATCAGTGACAGCTAGAAGAAATAATCTTGATTTGAACAGCTGTTCGTTATTTCATGGAAGAATATGTGCTAAACATTGGGAGAAAACTTTACAAAAAATCGCACAAAATTTGGTTTTTAAACGTCCGTCATTTTATTTACAAAGTGGTGACGCCATATTTTAATGGCTAAAGACAATCTTGCCAATCCAGTGAATACATTAAAATGATTTGGAACTTGATAGGTACTCTCGTTTTTCAGGAGTAGGCCGCATAAAATGGCTCTTGGGTCGTAACAGACAGGAAGACAGACAGAAATTTAGATGAGACTTGTTTCGGTTTCTCTAATGTATAAAACGTAAAAATAACCTAAAAGTTTATGATTCTGAGCAATGTACAGACAAAACTCTAATTTTATTTATATAGATTAGCTCGTTCGCTATGCTAACTCGCCTCCAGGTTGAAGTTCGTTCGCTACGCTCACTCACCTTTTGGTTGCAAATTAGCTGTTGTCATAAATTAAAAAAATAATAGTGCTGCACCCTGTTGGTAATCCTTGTAACTTTAATGCTATTGAACATCATAGAACAGAACCAACTTGTTTAATTGAAATAGCTGTTAAGATTCATTAATTCCTTTTAAATATGAAAAATCATAAGGTTAACATGGGAAACTCCAGAGCCACTGGGGCGGAGCCCGAAAGCCCGATCAGAATAAAAACTACTTAGTTTTCCTATTTAATGCCCAAAGAATCGGTGTACCGAATTTCAGCCTCCTATGTAAATGGGAAGTGGGAGAATTAGTGATAAGTGAGTGGGTCAGTAAGTCAGTGAGGGCTTTGCCTTTTATATATTTAGATGTCTACACTAAGTTTGACACTACACTCACCTGTATCAGGTTTTGTTTCAAAGTGTGTCCTACTTTTTGAGATATGCCTCCACAGAGAGAGAAGTCTAGACGATAGAGTTGGGGTGAGCGAACTTTTGCGAGGGAAGAGAGTTCCATTGACCTGAGAGAGTTCTAGGTCAGGTGTAAACAGAGCGAGGCAGAACAACGCTCTCAAAGACACAGGACTGCACCACGGCACGACCACCTGTCAAAGATCAGCTGATTAGCAGCTGTGATACTTAGTTGTAGCTTGAATAGAACAACAAAACATAGCCTATAGCCACAAGGTTGTACCACAGATCAAAAGTTCCGTTGACTTTCTGTTACTGTTATGTAAACTGTTGTGAAAATATTCACCTGATCACAGTGTCATTGTCAATTTTTGACCACAGAATCCTGTCCTGAAAAACAAAAATAAAAAATTCCCAAATGGTTGGCATTGTACTCTACTTTTTTAAATGTACGGTGTATCTAAATTTGGTCTGGAACTGTAATTATTTTCAACATTAAGAATTGAAGTAAATATTTTATGAAAGGATTCTATATCAGAATCAAACAGTCTAGGAATTGGCCCATTACCCAATTTACTTATTTTTTTCATATGTTTGTTACCAACTTACAAAGTATTACCATTGTACCTATTTTCCCAAAAACTCTGTAACCAGCAAAATGGCTTTCCTTTAAATGCTTTAGTAACTTGTAAATTGTACGTTCAGGAGTTAGGAATACCAGCCGATTAAAATGTAATAGCTGAGTAACAGTGATGAAATCATAATTTTAAAAAATCGTATTGCTGTATTCTAGCATTATTATCTTTACCAGATGATTGGAAATATGGTGAAACAGCAGAAGACAGGAAGATTCCTTTTTCCACTGTTTTAAACAATAAATAAAAGTTTCCACGTTTTCTCACCCCAAAGAAGAACATGGCGTTCCAGGAGAAGCTCCAAGTACGATGGCAGTAGTTGATCCACCTCCACATGGGCCATCTGGTGGTGGTCGTACGGACCATCTCCTTCTCTACCAGGAACACTGGCTGCAAAAAAACCTAAACATTACCACTTCATTGGCACAACTGGTAAAAACACAATGATGATTAGGCGTAAAAGGAAACTACTTTGGTTTTACCTCTAGGAAGACCCAGAATGAGTTGAAACAAAAGTCAAGAGGCACAAGACAACTTTTATGTTTGCAAAGCCACAAATCAACTTGGTTTTAAATAACCATGAGACGAATTTAGTTGGTAATAGAAATAGCCTAGTAAATTTTTAAATAAAAGAGGTTGGTTTTTAGATAATAATCAAGGTCAAATATTATAATTTAACCTTGAATTTGCCAATCCACATAGGCTACTGGCTGGTCCTTAAACAAGTCTAGCAAAGCAAGGGCCGGTAAGACATTTACAAGGAAGAACTGAAGTGATAATTATTAGAGACAGCACCAGGACGTAAACCTACGATATTGCTACCACAAATCAGTAGACTTCTGCTGACCTTACAAGTAAGGTACAGAGAAAACTTGCTTATGAAACGACCGTGCGCTTTCAGCTCTAGTATTTTGTGTCAAAAATATACTTGTGACGAAAAAGGAAGAGCCCAGGCGGTGAGACTATGTGGAAATTCCTATCGCACAGGGCAGAGGGTCTTCCTCCATTATGAGCGTTAAATTAAATAACGATAAGGTCGGCGGTGTTGCATTTTCCCTAGATACTAGCAACTTGTGCTAGACACCTGTTAAGTGTACCATTCAAGTTTCTTTTGTACCTTACTTTTCAGTGTACCGACTGAGCCACGACTAACCAACCTTTTGACATTTAGGCTGGGTAAAAAAATCCAATATAGATTCTTCAATCCACTTATCCTTACCTGACTAGGATCGCTCCGGGGTGTTGTTATGCTGGTGGCAGTCCCGCTAAGCACTGTGGGAACTACCTCACTGGTGCCTTGGAAACAACGGCGCACCACCCAGTTGCGGGGGAACCAAATCTGGGTGCGCCATTGAAACACCCGTGTGGGGGTCTTTACCTTACGCAGCTCTTTGAGCAGAACTGGCTCTCTCTAGAAAGTAAACGAGAGATTACGTTTATGAAGGTTTCAGCAGTTATGAAATAGATAAGGATAGTTGGATCAAATTACCTGCTGAAAAATTGATTAAGTGATGACGAAAATGGATAAGGATAATAGAAAATGTATACAGTTATGTTTAAATAATATTTAAATATAACTGTATTCATATTATGCCTAAAGCTTCTTTTGATCAAACTTGAAAAATGAGAACATTGTATACAATTCATTTGTTGTAAAAAATTGAGTTTGCATCAATTAAATTACCATCCTAATATTCCCTTACTTTCTATTTGTACTAAAGTTTTCTGTCTGGTTTCATGTTTCTTTTTTTGACTTCTACAAACAGATCAACTTGAGAACTAATACAGCTTTGTAGAAATCTTGTAATGTTTTAGTTACTTTCTCAACTGAAAACAAGATCATTTCCAGATATTGAAGTGTCGTGAAAACTGGTTTCTAAATAATTGTAATGGAAAATGTCCGCAATTATTTCTCAAATAACGTAAACATACCATCACCTAAAACAAACTTCTAACACAGGACTTTATATACTTAACACTGCCTCGGCCACACTAGTCACATACCTCCTTCATGAACGTAAGGTCTCTGTGCAGAAAGTACACGGCTTGCTGCAGATGCTGGTTGTTGCATAACATCAAAGCCTCTTCGTGTGCGCTCCACTTGCACTCCTCTATAAATTTCTCCTGTGAAAGAATAAACAAAATATTAGATTAATACATGCAAAATATTACTTAGGAAAAATAATAAAATTAAAATGATACTTAATAAATATTACTGAGTTCAACTTCTCGAGTAATCCTTCAAATAAATTCAGTTGAATTAAGGAGTGGTTATACTGAGTAAAAATATTTTGCTGAAAAAGATTATGAATTAATGGTAACTGTACCATACCAATACATAGTATTAGAAACTGAAATATTTCCCCCCTCGGCCAAAATGCTTTAAAACTTATTTAATTAGCCTTAACACGTTCGCTACCGATCGCCGCATATATGCGATGTTTCGGTCATTGCCACGGACCGAGGTATACATTTTAATATTACACATAGACCAGGTGTCACTTGGTCAACAGTACTCGCAGACCAAGGGCCAGTGATGCAGCAAAGTAAAAAACACTTTTGCCAACAATCATAATATGACATCACTAATAATCATATCCTCAGACCAAGTGATGCACATATACGACAGACATCCCTGTAAACCACTGCAGAGAATTCAAGGCCTTCAAATAGACTGTTACAAAGATATAAGCTTTTTAATAACATTGGGACACCGAAGCAAATATGCGATGTCATTCTATTTTAATATGACCAGTCTATTGGTACAAACTGGCCGTCGCATATGTGCTTCGCTGGTCTATATGAATGACAAATTTAGTACTATTGCGGTATTGAACGTATTAAATGACATTTTATCACACTAATACCAGTAGTACTGGCACAAATGGCAGAGAAATTCAAAACAAATTCTACACTGTTTTGACAAATTTTCACCTACCTAGAGAACAGTGTTAAGATACAATTAACTTGTTTTCATTTCAAATTATCGCCAGTAAGATTAGAAACTAATTCAAGAAGTTTGGAGGCAAAATCCAGTAGGAAGAAATTTCTCAAGGAAGACTCGAGAATGGCTGAAAGGACCAGGTGGAGAAAGATTTGCGAAAATTGAGAGTGAGACAAAAAGATTTGGTAGACAGGGAGGCAACTTGTTGGCAAGGCTAAATACCACCCAGGGTATCCATGGGATTAAGAGTAAGTAAGTAAGATAAAATGTTACAAGATTATTGTTTGACTTGTCTCTCACCTCTGCACTCCTCAGCTTGTCTCTCATCCAAGGACCAATCCTACTCAGGATGGGATGAGTGTATTGTAGACTCTGGGTCAACGTTTCCTTCGTCTTGCGCAGCTTACACTGAACATTCTCCACAGCTCTGCAAGTGTAACGATGAAGAAATTTAATTATTAAGGGGTTAACATAAATCATTAGTAGGTTTGGAAAGTTTTTTTGTGAATAAAGGTTTCATTGATTCATGACTTGGCTTTGGTTATACAAATGTAATTATTCCATTAATGGTACACTGAAATATCAGACTTTTGATGGATCCAAAAGAGTTTTGCTACAGGTTAGTAACTTTATAGTTACTTCTGTCATTTATTGACATAAAGCATGATGTATGTAAAAAAATGAAGAAGTTGTGATTTCAACAAAACCTCTGCTCACTCTAAATGAATAGGGGTGCTACCATAACCTGCTCTAAACCTGCCCCTATGTTCTATAATACTGTATCAGAACCACTTACTAACCTGTACATGAGCACAACACTCTGAGCTTGTTGTACCAACAGTTGTGGTACTCCTTCTCCCAAAGCTTGTAGCTCAGTGTTGCCGAGTATACTTGAGTACACCCTCTGAAGATACTCCCGCATCACCGCCTGGTTAACCTCCTAAAACATTATTGAGTTAATCTTCTTAGATTTTTATTTCCACTAAAAAAGAATCAGAAATAAGCAAAAAGTGGACAAGATTAAAAATATTTATCCAAGCCATTTAGAGAGAGAGTCATGTAAAAAACTTGCTGAGATTATGAACAAATTCCATTAGAATGTATAGCAAAATGAGAATAAGTAAAAACTGCATTCATTGAAAGGTGTGAAGTTGGAGGATCAACTTCCCCAATCTTTTCATTAGTTCAGGCTTGTATTTTTTAAGAAGAGGTTGGTGAGATCGTATCGTGGTCAGCTTGAAGTTACCCCAGGACGAACTTATCACCGAGAAGTAAGGTACAGAGGAAACTTGCTTATGGGACAACCATGCACTTTTACCTCTAGTATACATACACGCTAAGGGAAAAATACTTGTAATGAGCGAGGAAGAGCCCGAGAGGCGAGCACTGTGAGCTTTAAAGTACATTAGGGCGAGAGGGGCAATATTCGACTTTGTCCTAGACACCACTTAAAAGCACCATTAAATTTGTCCTCTGTACCTTATTTATCTATGCTATAGTAATATTCTGCTGGTAGTCACTAGTTGTGTGTGTTTGGAGAATAAATAAACTATATTTATGTTATAAATAAATTATACATTTCTATCCAAACAAAAATGATACTTCATTTTCATACATACTGTTAAACTAAGAAAGAAACACTAGATTATTAAAAAAAGTAAAGATACCTTCGTCTTTGTCTGAAGGAAAAGTGACTTAAGTGAAGTTAAAAGCAGTCACATGGCACATCTCTAGGCACTTTGCACCCAAGTAAAAACGCTACAGGATTTGTGCCAGGCACCTATTTTTTATCATGTGCCCTTGACTTGTTTGAATAGAAACACACTTTTGTGATTACTTCAAAATTCAATATTAACAACAAAACAAACCAAATCAAGCGTTAAACATTTCCAAAATGTAAAACTTGTCGCTTAAAGCTTAGAAATCACTCCAGTAAAATATAAACTCACACCAAAAAACATACAGTTTTAAAAATCTCTCCAGGCCACTGCTGGGAACCAAACGTCTGAAATTGAATTATTTGTTTGGTTAAATATAAAACAATGAAAAATAAAAAAATAAAGTTAGGTTTATTAAAAATTTATTGTTCTTAAAACAATATAAATGCCAAATTTACATTACAACATTTTTGGCTCAACATAGCCTATAATTTTGTAATTAATTTGATCAAAATTGGCAAATCAGTTTATTTCATACTACACTATAAATATGTTACAAAAAAAAACCTTTTTCCTCCTTATATCAGCGAACCTAAGTATCATTAATCCTAATGTTATTTGAATCAGGAATAAATTTGACATTTCCAATCAGACAAATGAAAATTCTGTAGTCTACAGGTTTACTGTGGCGGGAGTACGTCAACTTACCCTCTCTATCTCATCGTCAGGCAGTTTCTGCGCCCTCAGTTCGGAGATGAGCCTCTCCCGGAAGTGTAGGAACCACCCACGAGTCTCCCTCTCCAGAATGGTGACAAGGATGGGCAGTGCGTGTCTCATCACGTCCCTACTGAACAGTCGCAAGTCCAGCTCACTTCCCTGCACAAATAAGTTGAAAGTTTAAATGGTTTTAAACCTTTCATATCCAGCCACCACAGGACCAAGCCCCTGGTCGGATAAAACAACCTGTTATAGTGTTCATAACGTGAAAAAAACTTTAAAAATACATGGTAAGTTCCTGAATAGTGCACAAGAGTTCATAGGGTTTAAATTAGGTTAGATGTGTAGTAAATTATTTCTAGTTAAGATTTAATACATAACTGATTCTAAGGTGTAGTTATAAAGTAATATTACCTTGGGTGTTAGGAAGAGGTAGGGTATTGGGACGGGAGGGTGACAAGACTCCCTCTCCACCTCAAACTTCTCGGTGGCAGCTCTACGCAGCTGTCTACGGACAAACCCACACAGTGACTCCAACGAATCTTCAAACTCTGGCTGCGGCAACACACCAAACATATCAGGCATTAGACAAGGTGATTAAAGTACAACAAAAGAAATACAACTTATGAACATCTCAACTTCTTATACAGTCTATTCTTAGTAATTCAAACATTCGTTAACACTAATACCGAAATCCTACTCAGGCTGACGCTAACCGAAACCCCCAGTCTGTAAGATCCTATTTGAAAATAATGGATCCTGCTTAGAGACACACAAACCAAACCCTGGGCCTGTGAGACCGTGCTTTAAAATACACTAACGCTGGGCTTCTGAGGCGGGCATGTTATGAATAGACAACCTGTCAAGGTCACGGCACCCACGCAAAATGAAAACAATATATCAACAGGTAGGGGAGGAAAAGGGGGGAAGGTATTGGGGGAATGGAATCCCCCAAGTAAACAGTGTTGACAACATGCGTTTGTAAAAATTCCCATGGGCCTGTCGGACCGGGGTTTCGGTATTTAGTGTTAAATCAAAACTTTTGGTAATTTAAGATAAAAAGCTCGGTATGTAGAAGATCTCTTGATATTTCAAAGTTTTATGTGCATTTTGACAAGCTCAGTATTTTTAAGTCCAAGTAGATAGTAGGCCGATTTTGAACACCTAGTAATTCAAAGTTTTGTCGGTAGAACTCTCAATAATTCAAAGGGACAGAGGTGAATTTATAGCTTTATTCCAGTCATGGCAGGAAATTATACATTCCGCCATTCACAGTAGCTTCTTGGTGATAAGTTAGAGCAGTAATTTAATGATCTAGTTAACACTGTTTGCTTATTGGAATAGCATCAGAGCCCAGGTATTAAAAAGACAAGTCAATGCTTATATACTTGTATATGCTTATAACTTATCCGTCAAACAAAAAGGGCTTGGATGACAAGTGATTTGTTCAATGAGTAGGTAATATTATACGGATACATATATGAAATCATAAAATGATCTTGTCCAATTGTTTGGCCCACAAAAAGGTTCCCCATTTGTGAAATGTGAAACTTCAATTTTTTCCACCAAACACAACATAAAGGTTGCAGCCGCTTGGCAACACACTAAGTTACAAAAGAAATTGCGGCTGTAGCTGCTAAATGGGACTATCTCAAAAACTGATGTTTTTAGATAATCCCTTTTTAAGTTTAGAGGTTATGTTCGGCTGTCAGCGTTGGCAGTCGTCTATGCTTAAAGGCCCTAGTGACGCCAGCTGACTTTAAGAGTCATACGAACCAAACAAATTAAAATACACCATTCCAGGTTTTAAAGATTATACTAGAAGACATGACGGAGCGAAAATGTTATTGTTCTTTAAATGGACCCATCTTGACTTAGGCCCTTTTAGCAGATACAGCCTCAATTTATAATTTAAAAGCTAATTTAAAAATTTTACTCTTTGTAATTCAAATGGTTTTTTTCTCCCATTAAATTGAACCTCTTAAAAATTCAAAACTCTTGATAGTAAAATTTATTTGCAGCACCCCAATTAGTTAGTCTACTGTACTGTTACAAATATTTTGAAATTATTTATGGTTTTAGCCAATTTTTTTATTTTATCACTAGAAAAATTGTTCTATCCAAAATAATTTTAAATCAAATTAAGATACTACTTTATTACAACATGTTTTTATTTCCTTATATATTGACTGGATGCCTTGAATACCAAGTGTACTTTCTCAAATTCTAATTGCTAATTTGAATTAGTGTCAAGCAACATTTCACGAATGACAAATCTCCAGATATTCAATCTAGAAGTTGGATTCCAAATGATCTTAAGCTTACCCGACAAACCAGTTCAGCAGCCAGATATCGACACCTTTCTTCCCTCAATTTGGCCTCCAAGTTGTGAGCTTGAAGGGATGGTACTCCTACCAATATGTCTGAAATCAAGAAACAAAGTTAACACAATAAGCCAGAGAGAAACTATACCTACTATAACATAATTTATGTGCATATATACAAATGTATTTATTTGCTGCTTTGATTACTGGACCCCGAGATGATTAAGATACTCTAATCAGATTATACTAAATCACTTTTTGTATATAGGATTTTTGTATATAGGGTTGATTCAATAAAATGTTTTAAAAGCCTTACTATAGATAAAATAAATTGAAGGTAATATTTGATTTGAGAGTGGATCACTAAAAAAACTTTCTTTAAAAAAATGTATCCATCCTATAGATAGGTCAATAATTTGACATATCGATAGTATAATGTACACTAGCACTTAACATCTTAATAGACAAAATGATTGAATCACTAACTAAACAGCAAAAAATGCAAAAAAAGCAGCATTAGCAAAATTGAAAACATGTTGGAAGTCGTTGAGAGGTTATCTTTACATGAAAATTATTTTACCTACAACCTTTTTTTTAAGTAGCCGTTTCAGTTCAGTTCTTAAAATTGAAAAGTTTCTCATAAAAGCATTGTTTGTAAGGGTTCGAACTTCAACTAATCAGCTGTTCATGCCAATTTAAGGCCTAATTGTTGAGTGGTGCAATTATTGTTTGGTACAATGTTTTGTTGCATCACTGTCAGTGGTAATGAGGGGTTATAAACAAAAACATAACCTCTCTTAGAGAAGTTATGAGTAGTGATTTTTTGAAATACTGTAGTGCTAATGACACTCGCCAAGGCTCGTACCTTAAATTATCTACTCGTGTCGTTAACACTATCTTTACACAATCGTTGTGTAAACTACTATTGTTTTCTAACATAGTTTGTTGAATAAGGTTGCAATATGAAAAAAATAAAGCTCATCACACGGGCAATAAGTGTCTTTTCAAACCTTGCTCATTTTCTGACCTCAGCTTCAGCTCGATCTTGAAACTTGAGCTTGGGTCAAAAAGAGTCACTTTACGCCATAATGATGAAATATACTACTAAAAAGTACTCAACTTACCTAGAAGTTTCAAGGTCCCTGTAATGAGGCTTTTGACAGCTTGGGCGACGCTGAAGAAATGACTGGTGAGTCTAGCTCGGGCTGTCACCAAGATGAACCTGAAACAGGGGTCGAAGAAATAGTAAGAACTCACTGACTTAAAGCAGATCAAAGCAAATATTAAATCAATTCAAATATCCATTTAATAAGTTATAGTGGCAAAATTGGTGAATAAATAAACACTACCATTCACCTTACAGTACTAGGGTCAATGGTCATGGACAAGCTAACCTGGACCTAAGCTATTGTTTACCAGTGCGGTGGCCTGTCCTATAATACTACCACTCAACATCAAGTTTACAATGATCGAATAATAAATACTAGATATTTCAAAAAAATCATGATTTTTAATGGTACACACCAGGCACACCCTGGTGACAACTTGTCCTTGTTTTGCCTGACCCGTACAAGAAAAAATCATGATTTATTCATCTTCAAATGAACGCCATTTTAAAACCAAAAAATTTTTTTTCAAAAATTATTTTTTGCAATAAGTTTATTCCCACACCAAGTTTTATGAGGTTTTCTTAAATGGTTTTAAAGATATACATTTCTAATAAAGACATACAAATGGCAGATGTCTTGTTGATTTTTGGAAAAAATGATTTTACTTAAGGTACTTTTTATATTTTGACCCATAAAACTGAAACCTAAAGTTTTGTACCTACGGTACACCTTATAATTTTCAATGATTTTCAACGAATCATATGGCTCGCAAAGACTTCTAAACCAAAACACCTAGGTCTTACCATGACGACTACGGTAATAGCTTCTTTTCTATAGAGGAAATTAGCTGAGAAAAGAACAGAAGTAGAATGTACCTGAGGGCGAGAGCAAGGTCGTCCAGTAACGTCGCTCTAGATCTCTCACAGCCTTTCTGTAACATCCAGCTCAACCTCCATTTGTGAGTCTGTCCAGCGAAGTTGAGACTCGGAACTTCAAACTCCCTGGGAACAGAACAATTAATTAACCTTTGACTAATGAGTGGAACATTTTTCGTTTAAGGTAAATTTGTTTCTACCTTCAGATCCTAGGACGCTAGCCTCTAGCTTGGAAACGTTTGATACATTATTTCAGAATAGGCATAGAGCGTTGAATAACATTATTTTTATTAAAATGTATTTTAAGGTTGTGGACCACCATTTAAATAGCTTCTCCACCCTCCGCTTCTGTGCCTAAGAAACCCCAGCTTAAGTTGTAATTGAACTCACTAAAATCATAAATCTAAGAGAAAGAAGAACTTAAGAAAATTTGTTGTGGGTTGACTTTTACCTTTTACATAGTTAAAAAATGTCTTTCCAAAACATTGATAATTTGAAAATTTAATTCCACATAACTAACTGGATTCCTATGTTTTAAAGACAAACATAGATACTTTTATTATTGACGACTTGATCAGTTACAGTATTTACGATCAAAATGGTTTTGTAAAACATAATAGGATTGGCCATTAAACCGAGGTCCACAACTCTCAACTAGAACAGAGTTGCTAGTTCAACTCTGAAACTGGCGCTGTGTTTTTAATATACTGCTAGTTTGCTTTAACCCCTATGCGATACATTTTTTTGTGTTGTAGTCAACAACAAAGACCCTTAAACTAGGAAAAATGTTTATATTTCTTACATCAAATGTGTAGTGTCTTATTTCATATGGTGATTTTCAAAAACATTCATAAAACACTTATAAAACGGAATAGTTGACTTATTTGTATGAAAAGTGAATGACATGAAATGGTTCTAAAAGCTAACACTAAATAGTGCCATGCAAAAAGCTTTGGGATAGACATTCCGGCTAAAACACAACAAATTAATGGAGAATGTAAAGAAAACAGTGTCAAAATAAAAATAAAACAGTACACCGATCTATTTAAAATAATACATAAGTTTAAACTCATTAATATGGGTCTTTACCAAAGATATAAAAATGTACTGAGGACCTAAATATACATTAGTAGGGTGTATTTGAACAAAATAACTAAGTTACACTTTTCAATATCTAGCAGTCTAAGTTTATCAATTTTAATATTAAATGGCAAGACAAAGCCGAGAATGGAAAATGTGTAAGGCTTTAAGACTTTAAGGTATACAATCACACTGCACAAATTATTAAGCTGCACTCTAACATGACTAAAATCCAAATGATTAACTAAATTTACCTTCAACAGTGTATTCCCCACTAATTCTATTACCACTATTATTTTTTTAAATAATTTTACGATCCTCAAAATACCTCTGTATTAGAGATAGTCAGATAACAGTTCTTATTACTGCTGTTTTAATTGATTTTAGTCACCAATATTCACAACACGTTGTAAATGTAAGTAAGTAAAATATTTCATCATTGCATCCATGCTAAGAGTCTTGTATCATCTATTATATTATTAAAGTGATACAATCAAATTTTATGTAAGCGGTTAAGGTCTTTTACCAAATAAAAATATATGCATATGGCACATCAAAATGAAGCTTAGAGTGTGTAGATTTGCCGAAAAGTATTGATATGGGTGAATTTCCTAAGGGCTCTGCCCCACAGGATGATTTCCAAAAGGCCTGGCATTCTTCCAAATTTTAAATGATTCAATTTAATTTAGTTAATGAAACAGCTGGTCAGTACAATGAACTGGTGTTTGTTTATTTACTCGAAAAATATGTTTGTGACGCTATATGTAGATTGAGGAGAGTTATGTTTGATTTTAAAGAAATTTTGTATACGTTTTATTATTTATAAAGTATTGCTCAAAGTTTCATTTTGTAATTTATATAGTAAGCTACATATAAAGGGGCTAGACTAAAATTGAAGAATTATGGTAAAACATGTCATTCATGAAGCAGATGAAGCAATTGATGCTATTGCTACACTATGGTATGTTGTCATATTCTTTTGGATCTATTAACATTTACAGTAGGGGTTTGAAAGTAAGTAGGCCTAGGTTTACATTTTTAAATCAGTTTATATTTTCAAACTAAATCATAGAGTTGCTGTATTTTAAAACACACATCACCACCACTTTAGTAGCTCTATAAGTCAAATTTTCTTCCCGTTGCAAAGCACGGGTATAGCAGCTTGTTAACAATTATTAATTAATTGGTTGTAACCAAAAGCATTCAATTAGCATTTCAATGCAGTGCGCATTGGCACTCTTGAAGAGAAAGTTGAAGTTCTTGAGACTTCATCAAAGTCTGCTGTATGTCCTGAGGATATTATTGGCGAAATTGAGGATCGCTCCAAACGGGCACGCAACATTATCGTCCATGACCTACCTGAAAGCACCAACAGAGATATTCCTACTAGAATTTCGTACGATAAAAAGCTTATTAAAGATTTAATGCTGGCAATTAATTATGCTGATCGCGCCGAGGATTTCAAACTTTATAGAATTGGTAAGCAGAATAAAGACAAGTCACGACCATTAAAAGTTATTCTCAAGAGTCCTGAAGATGTAAAAATATTTCTTGAACTGTTTACTGCTTGTAAAAATGATCTTCAAAACTCCAATACAGAACTTTCAACTATTGGCATCACTAGGGATAGGACCGATCGTGAACGCCTTCATTTGAAACAACTGAAGCAGGAGCTAGAGAAGCGCACTAAAGCTGGTGAAACCGATATTACGATTAAGTACAGAAACGGTATACCTGCAATAATTTCCAAAGTTTCAAAAAACGAGTAGAAGTTTCTGGTGATCGACCCCTCAATGTCTATTACCAGAATGTTAATGGACTCCGAACCAAATTATCTGAACTTAGAGAAGCTGTCTCATCATGCTTCTACGATATTATTATACTAGTAGAAACTAATCTATCTTCTGATATCCAAAACTGCGAACTGGGATTTGATGGGTTCATTGTTTATCGTAGTGATCGATCCGTCATGACTAGCAACAAAAAATCAGGCGGAGGTGTACTTATTGCAGTGCGTCAGGAACTTGTATCAACTAGGCTACGCATTGCCAGTGAGAATGTGGAATGCCTATTCTTGTCAGTAAAACTTGCTGGCAAAACCATAGTGTTTGGAGGAGTCTATATTCCCCCTCAGTCTAACAGCTCCCTTTACTCCCGTTTCTGTGATTCTGTTGAAGAGGCAGCCTCTTTATGCGACATGAATGCTGGCACAGTAATAGTTGGTGATTTCAACCTGCCTGATACAAACTGGCTAGACTACTCCGTGTCTCAGTGTAATTTGGCCTCTCAGCACTTGATCAACTTGGCCAGTTTCTTGCATCTACAGCAGAGGAATGGAGTCCTCAACTCACGGGGAAATCTACTCGACCTGGTATTTACTAATATTATGAATGTTAATGTCTCTTCAGCATTGGACATTTTTCTCCCTCAAGAAGACTTCCACCCTGCCCTTGAGATATCCTTGTTGCTACACGAGTCTCCTTGCATTGATGAATCAGTCTTAGTTTATGACCTCAAGAAATGTCAGTTGCAGAACGTCAACCAGTGGATTCAGTCCCTTAACTACCCTGCATCTGACTTACCGGATGTTGAAAGCTACTTTGAGAATTTTTGCCAAAGTCTCTCCTGCTGTATTCGGCAAAGTTCACCTCTTAGAGTGATTAAGAAATCCAACTTCCCTGCCTGGTTTTCTCCTAAACTTAAATCTCTGGTCTACAAGAAAAAACATCTACACAAAAGGTTTAAAGAGACACTTGACATCGAGATTTACGATGAATTCAGAACTATAAGGAACACATGTAAATCTTTGGTCAAAGCCTGCCATAGATCATACTTAGAGAGGGTTGAGAACAGTTTAAGATCTAATCCAAAATCTTTCTGGAGTCATGTAAAATCTTTAAATAAAACCAAAAGCATTCCCAGTAGTATCCATTACAATGGTGTATCAGCCGACAACCCCTCACTGATGTGCGACCTGTTTGCCGATTACTTTTCGACGATTTATAGGACTCCTGGCGCAGATCATCCCGCTCCTAGCCTACATATGTCTGGTCCTACTCTCTCCTCCTGGAATATTTCTGCCTCAGACGTGGATAAGAAACTTAAGAATTTGGATGTCTCTAAAGGTGCAGGTCCGGATGACATAACTCCTGCTGCACTCAAGTTTTGTTCGGACAGCTTGGCCCCCCATCTCTCAATCCTCTTCTCTTCCCTTCTTAGAAGAGGCATTTTTCCACGAAACCTCAAGCCTGGATTTCTGGTCCCTATTCACAAGAGTGGTGATACAGATGACGTCAACAACTATAGGCCAATAGTTATTCAGTCCGCATTGGCAAAGTTATTTGAGAGTTTGGTTCTAGATGTTGTGGAGTTCACCTACAGGAGTTCAATCATCCCTCAACAACATGGCTTTCGTTCTGGCAAATCCACTGTCACCAACCTGATGGTATTCTCCAGCAATGTCCTCTCTGCTTTCTCTTTGGGTGAACAGACCGATTGTATATACCTAGACTTTACTAAGGCCTTTGACCGAGTGAACCATGCTATTCTCATTAAGAAATTGCATGCCTTTGGTATCACCGGCCCTCTTTTGGAATGGTTTGACAGCTACCTGTCGGGACGTACACTCAGAGTCAAGCTTTCATCCAACATCTCCAAACCGATTCAGGTGACTTCTGGTGTACCACAGGGGTCACACTTGGGACCATTCTTGTTCAGCTTGTTTGTCAATGACGTTGGGGATTCGTTGGGCTGCGAGTATCTATTATTCGCAGACGATATCAAGATCTACAAGAAAGTGTCTTCTCTGCAAGATCAGCATGAACTCCAGGAAGCTCTTAATACCGTTGTCATGTGGTGCACCGATAACCTGATGGAACTTAATGCTGGAAAGTGTGTAGTTATGTCATTTGGAAGATGTCAGAACTTGTTTGTCTACGACTACACAATTCTAGGCACTCAGCTAAGGAGAGTGAATGGGGCTAGGGATCTTGGAGTGTTCATAACCCCTACTTTGGACCCAGGTGAACACATACAGAGAATATGCATGAAGGCCAATTCTGTACTGGGTTTAATTGCCCGTATTTCAAGGAGTGGTGCTTTCTCTACCAATACTTTGAAGATCTTGTATGTTTCCTTGGTGAGACCTATTCTCGAATATTGCTCCACTGTATGGTCTCCGTTCCAAGTTGGCCATATTAATTCCTTGGAAATGGTTCAAAAGCGCTTCCTTCGCCTGGTTGGTGTTCGAGCAGGGATTCGCTATACGGATGTTAATACTGATCATATTGCAGCTCAACTACAATTGCTGCCGCTCTTATCAAGACGAACTGCATTGGATCTGATTTTCCTGTACAAAATTGTCAACTACCTGGTGGACTGCCCCGAGATTCTTCAGATGTTGAACTTCCAGGTTCCTCAGAGAACACGGCTACAGAACGTTTTTGCCAAGCTGCACTACCCTACCTCATACATGTACCATAGTCCTGTACCTCGCCTGATGCGTCTCGGAAACAACGCCCATCTGGAGTTCTTCGGAGTTCGTCCTACTGCCTTCAGAAGAGATGCATTTTTGAGTGTTGTGAGCCTAGCGTGTAGTGAGTCAATGTAGTGTTGCACCTTGAATTTTTATTTTTTTTTTTTAATTTTTTTTTTTTAATCTTGACCATGCTTGGTCTAATTATACATCACCTCTCATTCATGTCGATCCTGTTATTGTGTTTGTCTTGGTCAGAGCTATTTATTACCATTGTATGCACTATTATTATTGTTGTTATTATGTCTTGTTATTATGTATTGTATGCATCTTGTGTCTCATTCTCAGTTGTATCTCTTTGCTCGTTAACCATCTGTACTTTTACTTGCAATGCTAGCTTCTTTCTTTTTTGGTTTGTCCAGAGTCTGATTTTTACTCACTATTGTATGGCACTATTTATTAATATTATTACATGTCTTGCTATTATGATTTGTATGCATCTTGTTTCTCTTTCAGTATTATTATTATGCCTTTCGCACGTCACCTGATATCCTCTTGCATATCTTTTTGTAATGCTAGCTTCTTTTGTTCATAGTCCACCTGTTACTAATTTTGTATGTTCTATTCAGTAGTATTACTATCCTTATGCATCTTGTATTCACCTATTGTATTATTTAGTATTTATTATTGCTTGTGGTATTATTTAGTATTTGTTATTGCTTGTTATCTCCCGTATGTAATGGCATTATTGTACAATGGCTTCTGCCGTGAATAAACGAATTGAATTGAATTGAATTGAATTGAATTGAATGCAGTACGATGGAAAAAATTATACTTGACATTTAAAGAAGAAGACCTGATACAGTTGAGAAGCTCGCTACTACTCAACTACTTAACTCATCTAACCAATATTGGCATAAATATTTTGTTTAATTTAGGCCTAAAATCTCAAAATTTATGGTATTAGGAATATAAAAAGCTAGTCTCCATTAAATATTCAGAGTACACTGAATAATCCTATTCATCTTCCACATTAATAGGGACCTTGAAAAAAACTTACAACTCACCACGTATTTACCCAAAAAACGTCATAAATAAATAAGAAGAAAAACAAACATGCGTGACTCATGCTTTAGCCAGCTGTCAGCCGAGGTGCCCACTATTACTCCGAACGTACCCAGTCCGACGAATAGTTTCCAGCTGATTCCCTGTCAGCCGTTTAGGTTTCCCATACTTGTCCTTGTGCAGACTTGTGGACAAAAAATCAGCTGACTTACAGTACTACCAACATTGTACTACATCCAACAAAAATGTACCTCCTTTTTGGAGAGGAGATAAAAGTAATGCAAGGATGACCGAGCTGGCAATATTTTACTATGTGCAAACAAAATTTACCTTCTTTTCCACCAGTGTTCTTGGCATAACAGAGGAGAAAAAGTTGGAAAATGATTACACTACTAATACATTGTACTATGCCTAACAAAATTAACCTCATTTTCCAATCAATGTGTTCTTGGCATAGAGAAGAGAAAAAAATAAGGATTACAATTACAGTACTGCCAACATAGTATTCTACAGAATTTATCTCCTTTGGCATTACTCCTTACTGAGTCCTTGGCATAGGAGGAATAAAAAGAAATTAATAGATTACAGGCCTGCCAATATTGTCCTCTGTCCAAAAAAATTTACCTCCTTTTTCACTTACTTGGCATTGTGGTGGAGGTTAAGTAAGGAAAGGTACAACATTGTGATATATCCAAGAAATTTACTTCTTCCTTGTCAAAAAACACGCTCTTGTCTTAAAATAAGTAGGAAAATGGTTACACTACTACCAAATTTTAATTATATCGAACAACATTTAAAATCTTTCCTTATCAAAACCTGTGTTAAGGGCATTATACAATAGTATGGTATATAATGTAACAAAAATATTACAGTATGTTAAATTATTTAGTTTCAATTCTAGAGTACAAACAAATCATCTGACAATCTAAAAAAAATCAACTTAAAATTCCAGAAAATTTTTTGAATAAGAGAAGACTTTGGTTTTTAAAAACCTGAGCATATTCTAAGTATATCTAAATTGGATATAAATTCTTAATCAATGATGATTGAGAATATTGAAAAAAACACATTTCCTAAGATCGACAATGAATAAAGTTTAAGCTACTCTAACTACTCAAAGTTTAAACTTAATTTAACAATGAAACAATTTTTTTTAATTCAACAATATACAGTCTCAAAGTAATTTTTACTTTGTGGACCTCCCTTTTTCCAATTTATTAAAAAAAAAAAAAAAAAAAAAAAAAACTGAATAAAACTATTCTATCAGCAGTTTGTGCTGAAACAATCATCCAGTTATAGCTCAAAGCTGAAAACGATCTTTGAATTCAAAAATAAATCACTAACTGAGCAAAAAAAGCCTGCAACCCTTTGAGCTCAAAAGGTTATTGATGATTTTAACTGAATATATTTTCCCCCCTTTAACTCATTTAGTCTATACCAGCCTGACTGTTTATTTGAGGAAATCCTTTCTCACCAAGTTCAGTCAAAGATGCACCACTCTACTAGTAAACGTACGAAAGGTTTTAGTTTTGTTCGGGGTACAAGGAATAGAAAAAGGAAGTGGGAAGGGGGCAGTTACCTCTTGTGCCAGCGGTAACTTTAGAGATGTTGTTGTACGCTTAACAATCATGGAGATTGCTGTGTTCAACCAACTGTTTCCTAATTTCTTTTATTTATCATATGGCTTTGTTTACATTAATTTGTTTTTGTTTTGTTTCACTGAAAGAAGCTAACTCACAATAATTTGCTACAGAATAAAAGTTTGTATTAAAACATAAATCAACTTTCTTTCATAGTACATAGCAGATGGCGACGAGGAACTTTATTTTTGAACCCTTTGATGATAATGAAGAAACATGGAACAGCTACCTAGAAAGACTAGAAATAGCTTTTGTATTCAACAGTATTTCTGAGAAATACAAGACAATAACACTGCTTCATGTTATTGGAAAGAAAACTTATGGAACACTTAGAGATTTGTTACAACCTAAATTGCCTACGGAGTTTTCGTATAAGAAATTAATGTAAACAAAGCCATATGATAAATAAAAGAAATTAGGAAACAGTTGGTTGAACACAGCACCTCTCCCCTAAGTTTTAGAATCACATATTCATTCTTGTAACCGGTTGTTTTTTCCTTGAGCTTCTTCTTAAGACAGGGTTTGAGGCTTCACCGTTTGGTAGAGGAGCTAGAGGTTGGTTAAAGCGAGCTTCATCTTCAGTATGGTTGTTGAACACATGATCATTTGCTCCCTGAAGTTCTCCATCTTGAATTGTAGACCCTAGAGGAAGTTTGATATTGATAAAGTAGTCCCTGTTGTCCTTCTCACCGCTTAAATTTGAACCAACCGATCTTATTTGATCAATGTGTCTCCAGGGACTACTTTATCAATATCAAACTTCCTCTAGGGTCTACAATTCAAGATGAAGAACTTCAGGGAGCAAATGATCATGTGTTCAACAACCATATTGAAGATGAAGCTCGCTTTAACCAACCTCTAGCTCCTCTACCAAACGGTGAAGCCTCAAACCCTGTCTTAAGAAGAAGCTCAAGGAAAAAACAACCGGTTACAAGAATGAATATGTGATTCTAAAACTTAGGGGAGAGGTGCTGTGTTCAACCAACTGTTTCCTAATTTCTTTTATTTATCATATGGCTTTGTTTACATTAATTTGTTTTTGTTTTGTTTCACTGAATGAAGCTAACTCACAATAATTTGCTACAGAATAAAAGTTTGTATTAAAACATAAATCAACTTTCTTTCATAGTACATTGCAGAAATAATTCCCAAAAACTGTAAATTAAAAATTTGGTATGTTATTGTTGTGGAGAATAGGTAAACAGTTGTAATTTTCTAGTTTATGGAGATATTTTTATTTGATTCGACTAATTCATTGATTTAATACTAAGCTATTACCATTTCACTAAAAACACAATCTAATAGGTTTCTCTGCAGCAGCAAACTCATGAAACCTAATGTTATTGAAATAGGAAATAAACCTGATATTTTAAAGGATATTTGAAAACTCAATCAGGCAAATGGAAATTCGCTTAGTTTGCAGGATTGCTGCGGCAGGGGTATTTGAGTCTGATAGACCAGCCTTTTGAGCTAAAAGGGAGGTAAGTATTTCAAACCTTAAATATATTTAAATTAAAACTTTAAAATGATTTAATTTTTTTATCAACTGTGAAATCACAAAAGTGTTTTCTAAACTAAAAGCTTGTGAAAGTGCACCAAAATACTGCACTAGCGATATGAATGACTATTGAAATACTAAAGACTATGGAGAGTGACTTGATGAGTTTAACTTCTACGTTATGACAATGAATTATGTTTGTAATTACGTGTTAGCATAGCTTAAAATAAACATTGCCATGATAAAGCTTTTGAGTTACAAGTAAACAAGCTTATCATGGACAAATTTTTAAACATTTATGAAGTATAATACAAAGCAAGCAGCATTGCGCTGATAAAAAGTGCTGCTGATATCAAGACTATTAAAGAATTAAAATTTAAAATGCTATTAGGCTTTCCAATTCATTAAAAGTGTTATTTACATGTACTTTATCATATTAGGCTCTATATGCATCAATTTTTTACTTAATGCAAGAGAAAAATAGGTTGTTAACCAAATGTTAGTCATCAAAACTATTTTTTCCCTCTATTTAGATTTAGAGAGCTTGAGCTAACAACATATTGGCCATTATCATAGACTAACCAACACCACAAGTAGACTTCTTATTCCATTGTAAATTTTGAAACTCGTTTTTCGTGTCTAGTTCGTGTACGGTGACACTGGGCGATGATTTTAGCTTCACTGTTTGGTTATATAACTAGGAAACAAGTTATTGTTTGTAATTAGATTGTGTAATTTGGTTAAACGAGGTTTTAAATTACTGAAATAACAAGAAACAAATTGTAAACAAAACACATCCTCTTCAGTGCACCGTACAGAACTAAAAATAAAATTGGCTTTAGCTGTTCCATAAGGATGAGAAAACTACAAAGGGAGTATGTTTTATCTATGCCATTATTTATACAGAACTCTTTGTGACCATTTGATTGTGTGCATTGAAAACCTTTACTATTGACTTTGGATACTGCAAGTAATCATCTCACCTTATTGTAAAATCTAATGTCTGTATTATTGAAATTGATGTATGTTTTGAGGTTTTGTAATGCTTGAACGTATTAATGTAGACTAAACGCTTCTCTTAAACAAAGGATAAAAAGGACTTTAAGGATATATTTTAACGTATGCTCTTTACTCTTAGGTCAGTTATATTCCCTTTGAACTTGATAATGTCCACACTCTTAAACTTTACATAAACTCAAAATTTATTTTAGGTATATGTATTTTTTTACTGTTGTTATCAATATCTTTTAAGGTTAGTGTGTAAAAATAAAGTGCACTGTAGTAAATTATGATTATTTTATACACCAACTATTTCATTGGAACTATGAGAGTAACTATTTTAAAATAATTATTTCATAACATCTTTTATGTGAGGTGATATTTTGTTTGTTTAGTACCATTTTTGACGTCTTCAAGCATATAAATGATTTGTGCCATACCATAATTTATATAAGGTGATATTTTATTTGTTTGGTACCATTTTTTATGTCTTCAAGCATCATATATGATATTAGAATAATCTAATGAATATGATATGATTTGTATGGTATTAAACTTTGTTAAAGATACAAATTTAACAATTTTATATAACTAGCGAAATAGCTGGTATATATAGATGGGAAGTCTACTTTATAATCCAAAGTCAAAGCTTTGATCCACAAATCTTCTACAGAATGTGTTACAAGTTCATCAAATGAATGCACACACTAACTATGATGACATATTCAAGTGGTTTACTTTATCTTCTTCAAACTTGTCCAGTCAAACATTACGTTTCGTTTTATTTACATTCCCAGATCCCCGCGTAAATTGAGAGCTATGAATTTCTTTAGATATAATATTCCTTAGTATAATATTCAACAATTGAAGAGTACAGGTTTTACATGAGTTAGGTTAGTGTCTTTGACGTAATAAATAATGATTTTTTTTACCTTTATAAAAGGCTTTATAAAGCCAAATTTTTATAATAGCTGGTAAGTATATTTTTCTGTATTTCTCTTATAAAGTAATAGTACTGTATATTTAGAACTGTTTATCTTTAAAAAATATTGTTAATTTGATGCATGTAGGCCTACCTGCTATTATTCTGTTTTTTTTTTCTTTTCACATAAATACTACAAAAACTACCCTTATTTTACTATTGTTTATTTTGAAGAAAAACTGTTAATTAAACTGTATAAAATGAAAGGTGTAATAAATCAAACTATGTTAATATCCTTTGATGCAAATTGTTCAATTTAAAACCATAAATCCTTGTAAGCCTTAATATTGACAATAAACTAAAAAACTACCTATTCACAAAATTATCTAAGGAACAGTAAATAAAAAAGCGCTGGCTTAATTCTGCTCCCCTGTGCTCTCCTCAACTTCCTCAATTGAATTATCTTAGAACGAGTGTTGAAAGCATCGAGACTCACCCTCTCTCTCTAAGGCTCTCCAGCTGTTTTCCGGTGAGTCGCCTTGGTTCTCCGCTAGAATCCACGGCGACCGCGTCAAGCTCGTCAAAACTGGGGGCGACAAAAAGATCACGAAGGTTGGTTGGACGGTGCTGCCTTCTCGCCAGCGTGCAGCATGTGTCACCTCCTGGAGTGAAAAATTAATTCCTATTATAAAAGAATATATCTTTCCACAAAAACATTTGTGTTCTTCTAATACCCTGCATTAAAAAATAATACTAAATTCAGTGTAAAATATGCAAAACAGCTACAGCAGCAAATATTGTGATGTTCATCTATGTATTAGAAAGTATATTAAATAATTCACAAGATATTTTGTTGTCAGCGAAGAAAAGTAATTTTGTTGACTTTGCACATCATAGTTCACAGTCAAATGAAATTAAGTTCAAATTAAAACTCCTAGATAACTCTAGCCACAATTATAGTAAAATTTAAAAAAGTTCAGAAAATTTATATTTTTGTAACAAATAGAAACATTTACAAATAAATAATAAATTAATTATAGATAATACATTACAAATTGGGTATTCAGGACCGAATGGGGCTCAAATAGAGGGACTTTTCCAGAAGATTTATATCTAGGTAGATACCAGTTATAATTAATTTACAAGGTGTCTTGCCAGGTATTACCAGTGATGTAAGGTATGTCGGCATTGTTGGTGTTATTGTGAGTGTGGGCAGGACCTGTAGCATTGACTGGAGCTGGCAGAATAATAGGGAATGTCTTCCAGTGGTACAGGAATTGCTCCCCTACCTGCAAACAACACCCATAAACTATTCATATAATAATAATCCATAATAATATTTATAATTCATTATTATATTTATTAATGATAATCAAATTACGTCAAATATTTGAGGAACAATTGGTTAGTGACACTTAGATTAATTGCAACAAGTACAAACAAAACTATTTTACCTGACAAATTCATTACCTAGCAGTATGATAGTAACCAAGTTAGCAAAAATCCAAGTAACAAATCTACATGCCTCGGAACGTATATAGCAAAGCAAGGAAAGAGTCTATACATTGCAAGTATGAACTGCACTGATAAAATTTAGTGGCCGGCACCAGATAGCAAACCTATTCATCGCTGTAATGAATTCGTAGTCTGTTAATCTACCCACTTACTAATTTAGTAGTGTTTATTTATCAATTAGCTTTTATTGTAAGGTAACTTAGTGTATGAAATATCTTCAATGAATTTTAATAGCAAAAGACAGTCTATTATAAACATTCCAGGATGTCTTATTTTTCTAACAATAAATATAAAAACATATATTATGCTATAGCCTGTATTATGGAACCTGTCTCTAAGCCCTTTGCCTACCTGGGGGATGATTTAAGGCCAGGGCCATTCCCAGGTAGACGGAGGGTCAGGAGGCACATTCCATTATTCAGGCTATAATATCCATTCACATTTACTTGTCCTATGGTTTGTGCCTTTCTTCATTGTGTAACCACCTTAACAAACTGGGATACGATACTTAAACTTCCAAATATAGTAATCAGGATAATTTTGAAATTAAAACACAAAAAAGGGCCAAAAACTAATTCAAAGAAAAATTATCACCCAAATAAAGCTCGGCATAAAAATTCCTTATTTCAAATTAACATAAATTTATTTTTTTCAAACTATCCTATATAGGATTGAAATTTGTTAAGCAGCTCCCCAGTAAAATTATAAATTAACAAAACCGTAAAAATCTCATAAAAAAACTAAAAGTTCATTTGGTAGAGAAAGATTTTTATTCCCTGAAGGAGTACTTTTCCATCTCTTTTATTAGCATTTGTTACAATTGATTTAGTTTTTTAAACAATTTCATTTAGGTACCCTAAAATAATAGAAACAAAATTAGCCTATGTCAACACTAGCGCCCAGTGTCACCAACATGAACTAGACGTGAAAAAAGCTCAAGATTTTACGATGGGGTGAGAAGTCTACTTGTTGGTTATTCTATGGTAAAATATTAGTTTCAAGTTTTAAAATGAAATATGGCAGTTTTCACCATTAAAAAATATAAACAAGAAAAGAACACCATTAACAGCTTGTATTTCAAAGTGGTTATCACTTATTCATAACCCCCCTCTTCCCCCATCATCCCTCTCAAATTCTTAATTATTCCTCACCCCTCCTCCACCCCTCTTCTAAGCCTTCCTTTGTCGAAACACACAGTTTTTTCCTCCCAACCACTCTGAATAACCAATGTTTACATAAACGGAACTCTTCCAGAGAAAACTTCATTTGAATCTCAAACTGTTCATTGCTTACAAAGTGCTTCCCGTTAAGCTGTGTTTAAAGTTAAAAGTTTTGTAGAAATTGCAGCCAATGCGACGCAACGTTTATTTTTAATTTGAAGTTTGTTTCCGTTTAAAAAAAATATCCGTCTTATCTTGACTTTTTTTAAGAGTTCTAAGTTAGATGTCTAACAATAATAATAATCATCAATCCAGACATACAATGGCGCCTCTGATTAATATTCATGTTTGTTGTAAGTTGTTCATTTTTATTTTGTAAACTAAAAAATCATTTAGGCTAGTTAACAAAATATCACAATAATTACAAAATTTCATTCCTTATCTCAATCACTTGTAACTAAACTAAACAGCTTAAGAAGATCAATATGCTCTACTACTATAAATATTTCACTTATTAAAAAAATCATATATCTATATATATAATACGTGAAGCCGTTTTTGTTAACGCAACTCCTCCCTTATTTGCGGACCAATTTCAACGTTTAAGGTGTCAAAAGATTCGTCTCAATATGTAGTTTTGCAATAAGGTTTTAGAATTTTAAAATGCCAACTCTTAAGGGCGTGAGACCCTCTCAAAGGTCGGGTTTTCCCCATAAGAAATACATAGAACAAATTTAAAAACAAAAAACAGCTGTTTATAAAAAGAAACTCACTAGCTTTGTGGGAGTGAATATTAATGTTTGCAATATTCAGGAGGTTAAGAACAAGTTAAACAGTTAATCAGTTTTGTTGGAAGAACAGAAAATGCCTCAAGTTCAAATAAGAAATATTGAAAACGGGAGGATGAGACAATTAATAGTAAGATATCTTATGCGTATGAGGAGAGTAGAAAAAGAGAGGTAGAAAATTCACCAACACAATCCAGACATTTCAAGTCAAAAATAAGAAGTTGCTATTGAAAGCTTTAGTGGCAATGTATTCAACGATCGAGTAGGGACGATCAAGTTTATTTTTACGATTCTAAGGCAAATAATATACGTTGTTCAAAAAGAGAAGAAAGTTGCAATTGCTATCCGAATCTTATAGCTACAAGAGTTAACTAACCTATTTCGACAAACGAATCCATACTTTCAAAACTTTAAGACAGGTATTAAGAGAACCCCAGAAACTCCACTGAACAACGTAAGAACGTTCTGATGCGAGGCATATACTGAGACTGAGAGACACGTTAAGTTAACCAACTTTCAATGGTGTTGCTGCTTTCAAAGCAGATTATGGCTGTCCAGTTGGTAATCCGGAGACTTTTCGGGATTCTATACGAAAAAAATCGTTGGTTTAGGAGGATGTCTCAAATAAAAGAAATGAAATTACCAAACTAAAAAAACCCAACTAAATTACTTAACACGGGTTATCAGTAAGGCAACAGTTTTCTTCAATTCTTAATGCTGGAAAAACTTTGTTGCAACATGTTAACTCGAATTGAAGCAGAACGTTTAGCTTCCATTAAATTTTATCAGTTAAAACTGAGAGCAGAAATAACGTAGGTGAACCTTGACGACGCAAATAGAGTTATTCAAAATAATTTTCTAACAAGTTTTCAAACAACTCTAAGATATAACTAAAAATACTCGAATTTAATCATAACGCTCTCCTCTGCGTTATGTTTCATACTATGCGGCTCATTGAGCCGCACGGGTTCTCTAGTATTTATATAAGGGTTTACATTTTTTATGGGTTTTATTACTAATAAAAGAAGCATTTTTTAAAAATTTTTGAAGGTAAAAATAAAAAAATTCCAAAATATGAATATTTGTAATCATAAGAGAGACTGAAATTGCAACGGATTAGATGAGACCATGGGCTCAGTCAATAGAACAATGGACTAAAATAGTATGTCCCAGCAATGTCCTGGGTTCGCCCTATCTTGATTGTGCTGGGTCTTGATATGTTTCAAGCACAGGCCAGAGGCCCACGTGGACAGGCAAATGCATGGATAAAAGTGGCCGTCAACCTCTTTAAATTTTACTGTTGAGTCTTCCTACAGTATACGGCAATATAATACACAATATGTCATTCTCTCATTGCAAACTAATTTAAAAAAAATCAAAGCTATTTGTTTACTTAATTTTCTTATTAGGTACATCAAACAAACTAAACCTATTTCGTTCCTAAATGGGAAGTAAATTATGAATGGATTGGTAAATTCACCACCTCCTTAGGACTACCTCTAATAGTTATGACCCGTCTAAATATCTAGTTTCAACCAGCATGGGGCAGGAAGCAGGAAATGTCTGACAAGATAATGGGTGCAATAAACAGCTGGGCCCATCAGCTGGTTATTTACACTAACAGTGTTGCCAACGTTGTTTGTTGGCACCACAAACCTGCAACATTGTTTGTTTACATCCAGTCATGATTTAGGTTGGTACTAAAGTTTGTTGGCATTTGGCCCTATTATTTGTCCTGGTTTTCTACATGTTTAAAACCATTGTTTTAGTGCAAAAAAGTAACATATAGGAAAATATCGGTGTGCTTTAAGATGGTACTGACTATCGTAATTTGTATGAATTAAATTTTACATTTTATGATTTAACTCTTGAAATTTCAATATGCAGTTTCTAGAAATACCTCGAATTTCTTATGTCTGAAGAAATTAATCCTTGGGTGTTAGCACTACAAACCACTCATATACCTCATGGAACTCAACAATTCCAAATAAGGAATGTCTCCACACTAACATACACTCTCCTTTTTTTTAAGGCCGTTAAATTTGATCATGCGTGACCTCTCCTACCTTTGGAATGAAAGTAACTTATTAGTTAAACCTCTTGGTTAGGTTAGGAATTACATATTTTACTAGTATTGAAATATAAATATTAGTTTGGATTTTATATTAACAAATCTGAAGTTGATGAAAAATAGGTTTATTTTGTTACTCTATGCTATATTATATATACCTACCAATAATATATTTTATTAACAATAATATTACTTTGTTAGCCCATATATACTACAATTGTCATTAAAAAGATAAATTTAGAGATATGGAAGTATAATTCTTATTACAAAAATGTATATTGACTGGATTCTGTGAATACGCAAAGCACAGGACTTTGACTTAACTCAAAACTGTGACAGAAAATTATGTATACGACATTTCCAGTAAGTTCAATTAATAAATAAAGAACAGGGAATCCAATATTTCTTAAAAGGTGCATTATTATGTAAGACTGTGTACATTTTTAAAAGTAAAAATGTAATTTTTTCAAAAAATAACACTCACTTCTTTGATATTATTCACCAGCTGCACCACCTCCTCCGGAGCCCCTGTCAGGTGAGAAGTCTCAAACTTGAGAGGTTCTTTCTGCAACACAACAAATAAGTGTTACACTTCCATACTAAAATAACAAAGACAAATAATACATACACATTTTAAAAATTGTTTTATTCATGGGTAGGGAGCAATCTAATATATAAAATTCTCGTGTCACAGTGTTTGTCTGCAAACTCCTCCGGAACGACTTCACCGATCGTTATGAAATTTGGTGTGTAAATTCTGTAGGTATGCGAATCGGAAGACTATTTCCCGTTTCGAAATTCTTAAAAGGGCTCCGCCCCAGTGGCTCTGGAGTTTCCCATGTTAACCTTATGAGAAATGGAATTAATGAATCTTAACAGCTGTTTCAATTAAACAAGTTGGTTCTGTTCTATGATGTTCAATAGCATTAAAGTTACAAGGATTACCAACAGGGTGCAGCACCATTATTTCTTTTACATTTATGACAACAGCTAATTTGCAACCAAAAGGTGAGTGAGCGTAGCGAACGAACTTCAACCTGGAGGCGAACGAGCTAACCTGAAGGCAAGTGAGCGCAGCGAACGAGTTCCAACCTAAAGGTGAGTGAGCGTAGCGAACGAGCTCCAACCCAAAGGTGAGTGAGCGTAGCGAACGAACTTCAACCAGGACGTGATTCAGCGATGCGAACGAGATCATCTTGAAAATTAAACGTAACGGTACTTTCTTTCCATCGGTCTGTCTTAGGGGAAACCTATAACTTAGGCGATACGAAGTTCGCCGGGTCAGCTAGTCCTTATATATAATACGTGAAGGCAATTTCTACGAAACACTACTCCTCCGTTCATAATGGACGGATTTTTACAAACAATGTGTCAAAATTAAGTATTTTTTGTGTGGACCCCTTTTACCAATTCCTGTAATTAAAGTCCTCAGGCTTTGCCCCACAGGCCATCAAAACCCCAATGTATTTCTTCTGAAGAATAGATTTTGTTTACTTAAACAGACCAATAATTTTTATTAATTGCATACTAAAACAGCTGTTCATAGTAACACATGATACACACAAGAGCGTTTGTTTTCATATGATCCACAAAATCATCAATTATTTTGTCTTTCAATATTGAAATTAATACCTAGGCTAATAAAAACCTAACTAGTAGAGTAGTGGTTTTTAAAAAATCAGAAAATGTATGCATAAACATTATGATATTTAATATCATGAGAAAATAAGTCTATACTTTTTTCCAAACCAAAACATTCACACGTTTTGTTCATTAAAAAACCTCAACAACAAAATAATAATACACTTTTAAAACTGCATTCTTAAACAAGTATATTGATAATTATTTTTCAGATGTTTTCAAGTGAGTAGACTGTAGATATGTTTGCACCATCCAACTAAATACATAATGTATCATAAGCGATGTGTTAGGCTGATGTGGTGTCATGTTGGCATGAATTATTTACAATGCTCCCAACCTTGTTGTTAAAAATAAAACTTTCAACTTGCATATTTTTAAATATTTATTTGTTGTTCTAGAACAAACCTTAATATTTGAATGCAATTAATATACCAAAATCATCGTGTGGTAAAAAATTATAATAACAATTATTAAGCGATTTGGTCACATGAGTAAAGGGAGTAAATGGATAATATTATGATTGTAAATAATTTAATTTAGCATATTAATTGCTTGTTATATCTCTTCTGTAAAAAAAAGGGTACCAATATTACTGTAAATAAATCACCAAACTGCCTGGATGGTTGAGTAAAAAGCACTGACATTCAAAATGGAAGTTTAAAGGTTCGATCCCAATCTTGCTCCATTCTGTAATCTGACGTAATTATTGGTCATTGGGCTACCAATTAATGAACATATCTAATAAAAGATTGATTTTTGATATAAAAAATACTAGGATTTGAAACGTTTTGTTGCAAAAACCTCAAAAATACTAAAAGAAGTTAAACACAATCAAATAAAAAAAGTTACTAATAATTTGTAGAACTTGGGTGCAAAAGTGAACATTTTAGGGTAATATTATTTAATGCATTTGAATCTCTGAAAAACTGAATACTATTTTCAACTAAGTGTTTTTATACTTTACAGATATTTTGTAATTCTTTACTAAAGTAATACAATAGTAAAGAACTTGTTTGGTTTCCAGCTTTGTAACTATCAATGAGCCGAGATTTTTAAATATCTGCACCATTAAACTTATAAATTAAAGTGTTAACATGAAATTTAAGTCAAATGTCTGAGTACTGTCCTGTATGACTACTGCAGTAGCTAAGTTTGTACAAGCAGGTCAAAGTTTAACGTGACCTGCAAAGTTTCTTTGTAACTCTTCAACCACAGTTTTACTAAAAACAGGAACACAATTTTTTAAATTTCATCTCATAAAATCATGTTCTCCTACCACGGCATGGAGATGATCACATTGCCATACCTGTACAGTACGCAAAATTGCTTATTGCCACTCTAGAGCGAGAATGGATCATTCCGGCTTGCTAATTCAGCCGATTTCCCAGTTGCCGTTTCTAGACCAACCACAGCCACCGATTCAGTATGTTAGTTAACAACCGGCAATAAATAATATAACCTTTAAAAAGCTAACATAACCTAAAAGAGGTTCTATATAAATCTAAAAACTTAAGATTTTCCTACCACCTCCACTTATAATAGCACAGAGATTACGAGTGTGTATTACAAGCACAAACAATCATTGCCACTCAAGAAATGTATGGCTGCAGCCAAAACAAGCTACTAATTAATAACTACTTTTACTGCAAAATATTATCTTGTTGTTAAATCTTAAACATTTCACCTATTGGGTTGTATGATTGGAGTGTCCAATCGAAATCCATCACCACTTACCATATCTGTTTTATGTATTTACTGTCTTCTGAGTCAACAGTACAAAAGTAAATATATGTTTCAAGAGTGTTATTAGACGTATTTTTATTTATTAAATTGAGTAAAATGAATATGATCCAAGATGTCCTGAAAGCAGTGCATTATCACTCCATTATCAAACAAGAGAGAATACAGAACAAGCCCCATGAGAGGTTACCCTTCATAAATTAGACAGTGATTCTAAACATTCTACTAGTCTCCCTAGGGCAGAGTGTAATATCTTATCTTGCTATCTCGTAGACAAGAGGAGTGGATTTAATACCCTTTAACTACAAACAAATAATATTACCATATACTGTACCATATGTTTATGATATATATTCAATTACTACCTTTGGTAGATTCATATGTTAAAATGGTTACCATTTTTAGAATTAGTTTGATCATACAATAATTGGGATCGATTGGGACCAGAATCTGACTTTAAAAATTATCCAGATTATTTAAATTAACCATCTTGAAAAAGGCCAACATGCACTAGATGAGTAAAACACTTTTACCTAACCCGCCATGTTAAACTTCCCTATCCCAAGCGTGATGTATACTACTTCTTTACTTCACGAGTGATGTAAAGTTGAAAAAACTCACTCGGCGAGGTAATGAAACCCATTTAAATAACATTGAGTGCTTAACTTAAAAAATATACCTCTATGGAGCCAACGGCGTTCAACGCTAGAAATCAGCTGTGCGCTTGAATTTTATTGTTATAATTTGAAGAATTTTCCTAACCTAGATTTTGTTAGTAAATGAACTTTACTGTTAGAAGATGAGTGAAATGGATAATGAAAAATATTGCTCGTGCCCTCCTGTATATTGTTGGGTCAGGTAAAATCTTGTACGTTACACGTTACGCAAGAGCTTGTTTACATCACTTAGGAGAATTATGCAACTCGCTTCCGCTCGTTGCAAAACATTCACCTGCGTGATGTAAAAACGCTCTTACTACACTTGTAATGTAAATAGCTATTTAACATTGTACATTTTCTTTCACAGATACATTTTCTTCATAGATACAGTAAAGGGTCTAAAAGAGAGGTCAATTGAAAAATTGGCTTTGTTCTAGCACGGTTTCACATTTAATTTATGACAACAAGTTTAGAGTGTACAGTAAAAATATCAGACACTACATATTTGAGCATTTAAAAACAAGTTTGATACGCTTTTGAACTAGGGTAGTGGTTCGTTTTAATGCTGCTAAACACTTAATTTGTTTTAAAAGATAATTCAAAATTTATTTCTTACTTGAGACGAATCCAGATTATTGACAGTACAGATTTTTTACGTCCAAATTATCACATTATACTGTGTTCAAGTATACAGACTCTTTAACCAAGCCAAATTTAAAGGTCAACTTATTGTAAAAAGTATAGTTCATTTATATAATGTATTAGAAGGATAAATTTGTGGGGCGATAAACTCAAATAAAAAAATAAAAAAATGCATTATTCAAATACAAAATTAAACAGTGCTGTAGGGTGGAATCGTTCCTGTCACAAATACAGATAACAGTTTTTTGAGACAAATAAACTCTATGTTGATATTTCAGAAAATAATAGGCTGGGCCTAAAATGTGAGAGTTGCTTGGTCCTAAAGTGTTAAGTTTCATTATGTATACAAAACAAAAGAGAAGGAAGCAATAGGTGTCAAGTCCTTCAAAAGGGGTGATGGACCATGAACGGTTGGGAAACGATCAAAGTTTGAAAAACTAAGAGGAAAATATATTTACAGTAGCCCACTTTGAGTAGATTGTTAAAGTGTGTTCAAAAGCAGTTTTGAAAATATTTTTAACGCTCATGTTTTTATACTTTTTGTAAGGGAATAAAAAAACACTTGTCCTCCCTGATCTAAATACTTGTTGATATATATCATCGACCTTTTGTTATATGGCATAATTAGTTGATAGTAAAACAACAATGGCGTCTGGGTCTCAAATCGATCTAGCTTGGAATCATACCAGCAACCTTCAATTTAGAAGGCGATCACTAAAACTACACACAGCATCCCAGAAAAAATATATATAAGACATATCTTATGACTAAAATAGTATGCTAGTAATCACCAACTCCAACAATTATTCAAAAATATATGTATTTTCCTTTACGAGCATGTTTATTAATTAATATAACGATATTTACAATAAGAGAAATAATA